ACCCTAGCAACGTCGGCTGCATTTGCACTACGGTAATCTACCGCAAAGCTCATGAAGGCCCAACGATGAACATTATTCTTATCTTATATGTTATCTATAAGACAAGAGCTAATTCACATGTGGACCTATCGAAAGCTGTGCTTCTGCGAGAGTCCTCGGACGTCGGGTCTGGCCGGTTGTCGAAGAAGCGTCGTCACTCGGTCACACGTCCTTGCTAGTACCCCTAGCAGTGGCATCAAAAGATGGCACCTCGCACAGAAGGGGCCTAAGTAGTTGTGGACAACTCCAAAGGGTTTGCACTTGAATGATGATCTACGCAAAAGTTGACCTGAGCAGCATCGATCCGACAGCAGAAGCGCTAGCCTCTCGCTTCGGGATATTGGAAAACCATGCGGCTGTAGATAGATCATTGCAACAAGTCAACCTCATCGTAGCATGTCTTAGTTCGATCATAACTGGGATTCGTCATGCCAGAAACATGCTGGCAATCTTCAATTGTGTTAGATTTGTAAAGTTGTGGCCAATTAAGTTGTGTCCTGATAAACAATGTCAGGCGGCTTGTTGATATCATGGATCTTTTCTTGGTTGAAGAACGTGGTATAACTTGTTGCTGGTTTTTGATGCATCATACGCACGCTTTTTGAGCCATGCTGCCAAGTTGAAGTTGTACCAAGTAGAAATTGAGTGATTGAAGTACAATAATAGTTGAAATCCAGATTGATGAAGCCTGTCGTTGCAAGCAAGTTGGCAGCACATTCCGGTACGTTGGTAAGCTGACATGTAGGCTTGTAGAGCTGATAAGTTGGAAAGCTTAATAAGTATTAGTATTTGTTGCGATGCGGTATCAATTTTGTGCATATACTCTGGACACAATCTCTAGACTGTGCCTCCCCTCGGCAGTATCAAAGCTGCTAGTCACACTCAAAGCTACCAATACGTCACAAACAATGCAATCTAACGATCAGCTCTAATCCTCATGTAGGACACCAATCCCGTGAGACACGCTAGACAAACTGGCGTTTACTTCCAAAGTGCCAAGATTGGGTGCAATGCAATAGGCAGGCTTGATAAGTAGTTGTGACAAGGCAAGCTTGGTGTACGCCAATAAGTTGTAAGTTGGTGTAAGGCAAGTTTTGCTTGTAAGTTGGAGGCTTGAGACTTTGTGAGCTTGGACGCAACTCAAAGGGTCACAAGCAGCACCAGCAACAAGGACACTAGTCAGACAGAGACAAGGGTGGCAGAAAATCTCCCACACAGCGCCTGTACTGTACGATGTCCTCCGAACAGCAAACACTCCTGATCTCTATGCTAAACAAAGTAGCCATGGAATACCAACAGAAGCCAACACCACCAAGAGATCTCTCAAATGTGCAACTGTCTGGACGACCGCAAGTGTGCTAGCTCTCTCAATAAGCTCCCACGCAATGTGTACACCATCTCAACAGCCTACGCGTAATCAGCTGGTCTCACAGGAAGCTGGCTGAGTGACAACCTCAACCTATGCAAGCATACACACAAGTCTGGCTGTCTAGGAGCGAACACTGAAACCTGCAGAATCCCCACCGGGGAAAGACCCAACGTGTCCCCTGACACTGGGAATTAAGTAGTAGCACCGATTTGGAAGCAGGGGATGCAGAGCAAACAAGCAAACAAGAACTGGAGATCTAAAACAAAGAGCAATATCATCCAGACTCAAGAAATAACGCAAGGAACTTAGCTCAGCGTCTTGCAGCGGGTAAGCGTGCAATTTAATCCTTATTGGTGCATGTGCTGAGCTGGCACCTTCAATGCGGCTGGTCTGGCCGGTGCTGCAACGCAGACCGCTGGCTATGCCCATGCCGTCAGCGACCAGAGCTCTTTGTGTCAAATTAAAGCATTTTGCTAATGGGTAATGCTCGAGGGGCGAGCTAGGCTTTTTGCACCTAGTGTGACTCTGAAGCCCTTGAGCAGGGCTCTTCAGGGCGTTTTGAAGCTATGAAAGTGATGCACTGTGGCGGGAGCGCTTGGCAGCTGAAAAGAGCGATTTTGGCAGCCATTGTCGCCAGTAGGCGCGCTCCGGAAATTGCGGTCGATTCAATGATGCACGCTGGCATACGGTAGACTCATGAGTGAGCAGAACCCTAATTTTCCACCTTGGACTTGCTTGGACTCGACCCCATCATGCCATTGTTGGCATGAGGTTCAGCCTGCAGCGGCAAGCTTGCAAGCCTGGCCAAGAGCGCAGGTGGGACCGCAGGCGGTGCCAGGACAAAGGGCACTTTGACTCGGATCAAAAGTACGAGAAGGCGACTAGCAAAGAAGCGCCGTTGAGCTGGCTTCAGAAGAGGTTATCCACAAGATCTTTGATGAACATGGTGGTTGCGGCGTCTGCGTACACAATGTGCCCGGCCATTGCGAATGCCGTGACCAGGAATGCCACCACTGGGGTTGCTGCGGTTCGGAAGGCTGCAATAGGTGCTCCGGTGCAGAGCTGGCTTGGGAGCCCGTTGTTGGGTGTGCTTCCCGCCATGGGGCAGAGAAGCCACTGCTGCGAATGCTGGCTAAGAGTGCCGCCGATCAGGGTCTGTGGCCTCCAAAGAAAAATCCATGTTAGGTCCGTCTGTACGGAGGAGGGAGAATGCATGGACAGTCAGAATCGGGGGAAGTCAAGTGCGGCAAGGACAAGGAGGGAGGCAATGCTAATTGCGGCGTTTCCATTCCTAGCACTGCCAGTGCTGCCAGCTCATGGTGAGGGTGACACCAACGTCCTCGTGCTTGGCTGCCCGTGCATCATTGCTGGCGCCGGTGCTTCCAGAGCTGGAACTGTAGGCTGGAATTGTGAGCAAGGATGAGAGGAAGACTAGGTGCTGCTTGAAAGACAATGCCATGTAACTCGGATGTCTACAACTTATCTTTGCAGGGCTTGAGGTGCAAAAGGGTAAAGGGGATCAGAACGGGCTTTTAAACGGAGCATTGAGTCGCTACATCAAGAGAAAAAAGCTGGAGCCGCTGGATTCATACCTGTCACAGATCCTGCTGTCGGATGCACAACTACAAAAGCTGGGTAAGCTGCACCTCTCTTTCACCATCAGAGCTGTGGGCAAGGAGACAATCAGCTGGGCTGTGGGCAAGGAGACAATCAGCTGGGCTCCAATGCAATGAGATTTTTTTCGTTGCAGCAACAATATGCCCGTGCTGGCAGCGACCTAAGTTTTTGGGAAACAAGAATATGCGGATTAGGTCGATCAAGCCACCATTGTATGTATCTCAGACTGTTGGAGGCTGCTGATAGGTCTGCTTATGCATGTGTGTTACATGGTGAGTCTTTCCCCCAAAATCTTGGGGGCTACTCTTCTCATCCCATCGGATGCCAAATTCACCAGATCCTTGCAGGAGACTCTATTGCTGGTGATGCGCCAGACTATCCTGCATTGCGGCAGCGGTTGCGGTCAGGAGCATTTGCATCTTTCAGGACAGACCTGCGAGCGGTGAGGCCCACCTGCGATCCAAATGTCAGAAAAGGCCGCTGCTCGTAGAATCGTCTACAACCCACAACTCCATATACGTAGCACTGCCCAATTCAGACTTTGCTGGAATATGTGGCCCGTCCTTGAACCTGCTTGCAATCGGGAAGCGTAACATGCTCATGATGGCTGTCCGCCAACAACCAGAGTGGTGCGACTTGAAGTCGCCCATTGAATTCTCGCTTAACACATTGTGATTCTCGTCGTATGTCTTTATGAGTCCACTGGAACCCTCCCAAAGCTCGCTGTGTGGCAACTTAGGGTGCGCGTGACTTTCATAGACTTTTCTGTTTACCTCTAGTGCAGCCTTCTGACACCTCGCTCTTTGTAAAACGTTCCTCCCAGATCACACAATATTCTTCTGAAGATGGCTGGGGAGCAAACGTGGGCATCGTTGCAGACAGCAGTCTAATGTCTCTTGAGAACCTAGATGCACGACTCTTGGATGCGAGCAGGACGTCAGCGGAGAAAGTAGACAAAGTTGCACTTGAGCGAAGTGTAGCAGACTTTCGAAGCGATCTCAGCAAGTTGGTTGAGTCAGTGCCTGCAAAAGATCTTGCACAAGCCCAGAAGATTGCTTCGTCATACTTGGGGACCAGCTTCGATGGTCCAGCGGGGGATGCAGTGCAAGCGGTACAAGCGACCGAGGTAAGACCCCGCAAAGAAGAGGGCTTAGAAACAGAGAGTAAACAATCGGGGTTGAAGCGCGGAAAAGGGGGCTCCGTTGCTTTAGAGGATCTGCTTTAACACGACCAAAAACGTGCTGCAAAGCGATCTATGCAGTTCTGCTGTTTGGCTGAGCATGCAGGGTGGTTTTCATCAGGGCAAGTTCTACATACAAGCATGTGGCGCTTTCATAAATGGCACGCTTTTGTCGTATGATGATGGGCTGCACCTGCTGGTGGCCTGGACCTAGATACATGCAGACCCTCGCACTGCGCCAAATTAAAGCATCATGCTATACCTGCCATGGCACCCTGATGCAGTCGCGCCTAATTGTTACATTTGCGGCAGTATACCATTGTATGGGCAGGCGCCATCCAAAATCTCGAGGTGTCATGCATGTGCAGTCCGTTTTACAGCCTGATCGTTTGCAAGCAGGCTTAGATTACGTGCACACCCACGCGGCGGCATGTTGTAGGGTACGTACACGGTGTACATACATGCACTGACTCTTATCGTACATATGCTTATTTCTTTGATATAACACTCGGCCTCAGATAATCCGACCCATGTCACGAGCTAGGTCAATCATGATTGATGACTGGGCCAGAGCGTTGCAAATTGCAAACTATGCACTTGATTCTCAACCCACAATGGCCCCCGGAATGACAATGGTCCATCAATCCGTCTGCTCGTAATTGGAACACATGCAAATTACTCTAGGCTTGATGTGGATGCTTTCCGTGATTCACACATCCACCCGGTGCAGTTAAGTCTTGAAGCGTCAAATCCAGTCTAAAATGTCAGATGTAGATCATGTCGGATCTGTCGTCTTTGCATACCATTATTGAATCATCGCATGCTGATCCCAGTACTTGACCGATGCAAGGTAAGCCTCACGATCCAACGGTACGCCGCTGCCCCCCTCTTCAGCCCCCAGCGCGTTGCGCATGATTGTGATGGGCGACATGGGCAGCTCGAAGTCTTCGTCCTGAGCCTGCGTGTAGAGAGCCGGACATGTTCGATCAACACAACCTTTCTCACATATTAGGTTCAGTGCCCAAAGTTATGCAGTGTATGGAGTAAGCGTCTTACTGCAAGTCATGTGCATTGAGAGATCTCCTTAGACTGAGTCAACCAAGGCGCCACATTGATGATCGATACCGACCTTATAAGTGTGCTTCCCAGGCCCCTATCGGAGCCAATTAAATCCTACTAGGGTTGACAAACTGAGAGTGTGCGGAACAAGTATTGTAATTGCTCGTAAGTTGCCTCGTAAGTTGCCCTTCAGCCAATCGAAGCCTAAGAGCAAAAGCCAAGCATGTCTAAGATCGAAACGGAAACCTGCTGATTGATAATAGTGGGACCCACTGCGGAGCCTTCACTTAGAAGGAGGAGATGACTGTGAAGGTACACGGATGCAAGTCACGCAATTTAGCGTATGGCTACAGTTTTCGTACTGTCCCCGCTTTCATTCAGTCGCATGGGTGGCTGACCTTGATGGAGATGATTCCCCAGGGAGCATCTGGCAGCGGGGGCAGGTCCTTCTCTTTGAGGCCCTTCCTAGCGGCGGTGGCCTTCTGCTCGAGCAGCAGCTGGCTGCGCGAGTAGAGAATAATGTCGAGCATCTGAAGGAACAAAGGGAAAAAAAAAGTCAAGTGCAGTAGGGCAAAGCTGTGGTTGCTGGAAACAGGAAACCGTTCGAGAATCTGTTGCAGATACTGTTCTAAACAAAGCGCCCCAGAAGCAGGTTGCTTGGACCTCTGGGATATGTGGTCCGATAGTACATGAAGGGGTCTGGGCTCACCTTTGTCTCATGCCCTTTCACCTGGTCAGATGGGAACCATCTGGAGAGGACCTGGTCATGGACACAAGGCAGAACAGTAGGTCAAAGGAACGAGGGGCTGATCACCCTGTCACTGCAACTGTGCATTTCCGGAATCGGATGGTGAGTAAAAATCTTTCAAATGGGCACAGAGACCTACCGAGGAATGAAAGTGAGGAAGAAGATGACATAAAAATTTCGCATGGTGCTGCGAATCTGGGTAGACTCACAGGCAACTCAGAGGCTGACCGGGCTTTGTAGCCCGACCTAAGCAGGCCTTCGTTGGTCCTGTCAATGTGGAGGTGCCCGGCATGTGCCCCAACAAAATTTGGAATGAAGAGGTGCTTGCAGAAATCTGGAACGAGAGGTATGTGTTTGAGAAGCCTGAGGGCGCAAAATCAGCAGTTCTGCCGATCAAAGAGACTGTCAGTGCGCTTAACCCAGAGTTCTCTCGGAGGGCCAAATGGCATTTCCTGACCACATGAGTGCTGGTTGTGCAGACTCTCCCCTGCTGTGCCTGCTGGGCTCACCTGCATAGCCATCAACCAGCTTGGCCCCGTCCTCGTATACTTCTTCAACCGTGCGCACAAAGTCCGCTTTGTTGGAACTGCAATGAGCCAGCCAATGGCGTTTAGATCTTCACAGCATCTGCTCAGATAAGTATGCAATGAGGGCGTCAGAATCGCAAGAGAAAGGATGGACGTAGCACATGGAGCATTGAACTAACGCACTCAAGGCATTGTTTCCAGTAGACATCAGCAATAAAGTTGACAGAAGGAAGTCAAGGACTTTTAGCTATGTCTTTGCTGCAGATTGATTTTCAGCCATACCATTGCATGTTCTGCTCGCTTGCGCGGGCTTGCGCGCACTGTGTACCACCACCAAAATTTGACCTAGTCGGTGTCTGGGCCTTACCTCATGCGTGTGCCACTGTAATCTGGATCATCCCATTGCCTCTGGGCAAAGTCGTCCAGAAAGAATGTGTCCCCATGGGGGGCGCTCGTGCTGACGTCTGCACCACCACTTCCATCAGACTTTTCTCCAAGGGCCATGCTGCATATAAACCTGCTCTGCTGGCATGGGACTTTGCAGGCCCACGGATGATGCTGTGTCAATGGACCAGCTCGCGGTGCAGCACTCCGAAAGTTCAGCCCCGATTGAATGTAGCTAGTCAGTAAAGGAAGTGGTGGATTCCAGCGGGTTTTACAGATTACGGTGCCGATGAAGGATCCCCAGCGACGGCAGGCGCTGACTTGACAATCGGGGGTGCTGGACAAGAATGGGCGCACTGCCGTTGCGGAGACCGACATCTCACAAAGAGTCGATGCAATAACGAAGCATGGTTGCTTCCTTTGAAATTGGAGCACTCACAATGGTCGAATGCCAATTGATGCCCTCAATGCCAGTGGGCCAATGGCGATGCAATGCCGTCGATGGGCATTTTCAACCTGGCTTGTGAGAGGGGAACAGGAACAAGTGCTGGAAGGATTTGGGTTAGCCGTAGGTCGAGGTCCTCTGAGAACAGCAGACTCTTGAGCAGGTCTTCGCAGGCCTCAGTCACCGAGATAGTGGACAACTTTTTGATTGGTCCGATTACGATACCTCGAATCGGACGGTTGCGAACTACCGAACTTTCGGCACAAAAATGCATGAGACCCCGCAGTGGTCCTGTGCATTTTCGGAAGAGCTTTCGAAGGGCGCCATGGCGCCCGCTTAGGAAGAATTTTGCGCTTCCCACCCTGGCCCACCCTTGTATACTTCAAAATTCTTTCAACTTACCTGCTCGCCTCAGCCCAGTCGCCTTCGGCTTCCCATACTCCCTGCTCTATCGGACTCGCGTCGTAGCCCTCCATCCAGCTCTTCTTGGGCCTGCACTAGCGTTACGGTCGTTCGTCAGGCCCCCAGCTGCCTTCTGTTTTTTCCTCGCACGGCTAGTTGTTCGCCGCCGACGCGGCCGCGCGCGACATTCGATCTTGAATTAAATTCGCGCGACACCGGCCGATGCCGGCGCCTTTACTGCTAGCCTCACTGCGGGTGATGACAAAAGACAGCTTCGGGGTGACCGCGCCAAGCATTTAGTACCGAATGCTGGTGCAGCCCAAATGGCTGGAACCCTGTTCGACGAATTTTTCAACCGGTTTGTTGTCCCTAGTTCTCAGTCAGCCTCCGGGCGACTTTGGGTTACATAAAGTCGTTCGGGTTACCGAGAAGATGTTCAGACAAAGAACGTCTTTCAATCTTCCAAGTTCCACTTCCAGCAAACTGACAGTAAAGGCTCGATTGAAGGGGCAGAAAGCGGAGCCAGACCCCCAGATTGGCATCACTGATCTGACTCGAAGCTAGCGTTCTAAAACAACAGTTCAAAATGGCCAGAAAGGGCTGTTTAGTGCGCCTGAAGAAGGAGATGACTGCATTTATGAAGGAGCCGCCGCCATACATTCCAGCGGTGCGGGTGCAGTCCTCTTTTTGATTGCTGATTTGACTCATCGAATCTGTACTGCACTTTCTGATGGAGTTTGGTAGGTCGAGCTGATCTCAGCAAGATCAGAGCAACAATGAAATGAAGTTTGATTGTGGCAAGCCATCAGCTTCTGCTTTGTTGTGTGTTTGTGATCAGGGCCTGTGTTCTTACTTCTTTTGTGCTCTCTTGATTCTTCAGATTGCGGTAAATGAGAGCGACATGCTGACATGGCACTTCCTTGTCGAAGGGCCACCGCAAACCCCATACGACGGAGGCTGGTAAGAAGCACATACCTCAATCTCATCTCCTCTCTCAGAGGCCATTGGGGGCTGCTCAAGCAAATCAGAGTCCAGAATCAACATCAGGAGCTGCGCCCCCTTCAAATCCTGATTGCAGTCTAAGGTGGCTTCAGCATCCAAAAACAGTGTCGGAACTTTTCCATGCTTGTCTGCACAGGTACATTGGAAAGTTACGCTTTGAGCCTGACTACCCGTTTGCCCCACCTGCCATCTCGGTGGTGACCCCCACGGGCAGGTTCAAGACCAGCACACGTCTCTGCCTCTCCATGTCTGACTTCCACCCAGGTGATTTGCAGCCCCACTGCCGTCATGCTATTAAGGCACTTGGACTGAAAAGTCTTGCTATCGAAATTCGGGGGCCTTATGCCTACTCACTTTCAAACCTACTCTTCCAAGAAGAGCTGCTTTTGAAAGTCAAAATCCACTGGTACTTGCTCTCTTTGCTTTGCCCCACATCGTCCCCAACACATCCTACGCTTCGTCCATGCGCAAGGTGCCAAACCCCCATGTCTTTGTGCAGAGCTGTGGAACCCAATGTGGTCCGTGAGCACAGTTTGCACCGGGCTGCTGTCTTTTATGTTGGAGGACACTGCGACGACGGGCTCCATTGAGACCTCAGTAAGACTCGCCCTCCAAGCAACAAGAAGCAAAAGTGTAATATCACTGTGAGCACAGCAGGGCAAACACGATGTTGCGATGTTATGGTGCTTTCTCGCACCACAGTCCTTAGTCTGGTCGATGGGATTCCCCACATGTTCACAAATGCTCTGAAGCCTCACCCTTGATTACCTGACCAGCTTGGTTATGCGTGTTTTATTGTGCAGGAGGTCGAAAAGCACCAGATCGCTGCCTCGTCTCTGCAGTACATCCAGGAACGGCCCGTGCTGCGCAACCTTTTCCCGGATCTGTTGACGTTGGCTGCAGAGGCGCAGAAGAGGCAGAAGGCCGGTCAGCACAAGGGTGTGACTGTAGCAACAGGCCCGGGATCAACGGAAGGGAGAGGGGAAGAGCCAGAGGTAGATCAAAGAGGTGACAGTACGGCAGAGCCTGTAGAGGCTCAGCAGCGGGAGGGACTTGGGAGCGCTCAAGTTCAGTCTGATCAGGAGGACGTCCGATCAACGAGCACAACTCGGGCCGAGCAGGCAGAGTCATCAACAAACGGCAGACTACCACAGCCAGGGAGGGCCTCTAGCGGTGAGCGGGAGTCGGTACAGCAAGTGGAACGGGGGCCCGGAGGCGCGGGGCCACCAGTCGAGCTACTGAGTCGGTCGGGCTCTTGCCAGGCTGACGCGTTGCTTCGAAGAGTGAGAAGAGTTAGCAAACTGTCGGTTTTCCGAATTTCTTCCTGGAGCTGCCACTTTGCATATGGAGGAGCTTTTTGTTGACCTAAAAGCCTTTGTATGTCACTACAGGCCTGGCAGCTACTAGGGATGCTTCCATGGACGAGTGTGAAACACACTCCAGTAGCCAAATCCTGAGAACAACAAGACGAAAACGATCAGACTTCCATTGACAGGATATTGAGCACGTTGAACTCGGTTGTCATTTTCTCAAAGTTCGGGCAGTTGCAGTCGTCGAATTCTGGTCCTACTTATCTGCCAGACCTTGCACTCTACTTGGTTTCTATACGACAACCTTTGGAGAAGTTGCCCGACGGATTGTGAGCTGGTCCTCTCTTTGTCTGCTTGCTGCAGGCCCGCGCCCAGGTGGTCTTGGGTGAGCTCGACGCGGCAGAGGTGAGCCTCGAGCAGGCCGCAGAGTGTGTGGGAACAGGCCAAGCCGCTGGGGATGCGGGGCGTACCGAGCTGCCAGAGGTGGATGGCATTGTCGAGGAGCTAGCGCGGCTGAAGCTGGGGGCCCGCCACCGCGCGCGGGGAAACGAGCTGTACCGGAAGCGCAACTTTGCTGGGGCGTTGCGAGCGTATGAGAGCGGGCTCAGAGTGCTTAACGAGTGTGCGACTCTGCACTGCAACAAGGGCATGGCGCTTGCAGCACTCGGAAGGTGGGCCGCTACCACAGCCTGTCGATGTTAAAAGGATTGTGCATCGATATTAAAAGGACTGTGCAGCCGCAGTCTCGCATGCAATGTTACAAGAGACTCTTTTGCTCTTCGAGGCCACTTAGGATCTTAGAAATTGACTGCCTCTATTGGATACAATCTTTTCAATCTTATCTAGCGAATGTACCCGAAGAAGCAGCAACCAACACATTTTGCAACCTTGTGCATTCATGGGTTTCATGTTGGAACCTGAGGTCCTGCGCGTATCGGTTAAAAACTCGTCCGTGAACTCCCTCCCCCTAACTTTCCTATCCGGCTTGCAGGCATGAACCAGCTGTCCAGGCGTGCACCATGGCGCTCGAGCTTGATTCTTCGTGCACAAAAGCTTGCCGCCAAAGAGCAGACAGCTTGGTGCTCATTGGAAAGCCGGAAGCAGCAGCTGCGGATTATGCTGCTTTGCTCCTTGTCAACCCGGAGGACGAGCATCTGCAACAACTTCTGCATAAACTTCGTGTTTCGGCGTGACGCCGAAATCCAGATGTTTTGCGTCAAACTTTTGCTTATTGCAACTTTTCTTTTGCGGTTCGATCCCAAAGAACGCGTTGGATGCTGCACCACTTCGCTCCGTACATGGCGTTGTTGTCCATTTTTTGTACCCGCACTTCTTGTGTTAATACCGGCTTAATGCATATGGGATGTGCATCAACGCACGAACGAAAACCTTGCGTTCTTTTACACTGCAAAAGAACGCATACTATAGTTCCAATTAACAGAACTGGGTTCACGTATGCATCTCTGATTTGTCAATCAAGTAATACATCTGAGCCCACCTTCAAGATCTGATGCACCGGCAAAAGGGGTGATATATTGTAAACTAGTGAGCAAATTTCTGATTCGAAGTAACACCCTGCTCGGGCCCCCTCGTCACTGGTGGAGCTCTTCTTGGCATTGCGAGCTAATTTAAGGCTAACAATCTACAACTCGTTTCCTCTGGTTGAGCTCTCAGATTATGTGCCGCCCCTCTTGCTCTCTTGTTGACACTTGAATTGATTCAAAGCGATCTATAATGCTACTCAATGATGGTAATTCTCTTCAACCTTCGCATGTCACATGCTACGTTCTTATGCTTTTCATACTTAATCGGTTTGATGCTCATGTCGCTTCTACACACGCCTACTACCACGAGCAGCTGGTAGGTAGTTGGTGCATCGGACCAGAGTCACAAGATACCCGTTGACCCCTACCCGACGGCCGCCATTGACGAGCCCTGCTGAAGCCATAGGTGTCTTAGGGGCGGCTCATGCTGCTCAGCTAGGCCCTCAGGCTGCGAGTCTAGCTGTCAGCTCGGGCCTGCCCAAGTCGAATGCCGATCGGCGCTCAGATCGATCAAAATCGATTCGCGGTCTTGAAAGTCGATCGAGTACAAACCTATAACTTGCTACGTGGAGCTCGGGCAAGCCCGCTCAATCATGCGTGGCGTCATTTCCAGTGCTGTTCGAACGATATTAATGATCTCCAATCATGAGCGAACGGTCTTGAAGTTATCACGTGAAGTCTTTAGAGCTTTCAAGAAGCAGTTCTCGAGTTGACATATGACGCGGCCACATGCAATACGCCACATGGCAAAGACGTCCACCGTCCAATGTCGCAAAAGAGAGCGGAAGTTGCCATGCAACTCAGCCAGCTCAGCACCGCCCACTGACGATATTCAGGACCGTTCGCAAACGGAGCACGCGACTGAAAACAGACAGAATGAGTGCATGCACTCATGACGGTAGCAAGGCGGCCAGCTCCGGCTCACATGTGGGGGTGGAGTATCCGATCTTCTGATTCTGTCTTGCAGCTTGCGGCTTGCCCCTAGCTTGGCAGTGAGCCTGTCAGGACTGTCGTCGCTTCGCACCTTTGCGCCACGTTTGGATGCTCGAGAACAAGACTTCCACTCAACAGAATTGTCAAAGAAGTTCTCTCCCACACAACTGGTTCAGGCTTTTGTAGCCCTGCGCAGGCAGGAGGAAGAAGCGGAGGGGCCAGGCTTTTCTCGGCTCGACGAAAGCTCGTTCAACGTCACTACTTTGCTTACCCTTGACATAGAAACATGCTGCAACTCGGACGTCAAGTAAGCAGCCTGCATGAAGCCGCAAGCTGGCTCTGGGCAAACCGCGGCGGCGGTTCATGGAGACCATGGCGTGCCGCAATGCGACCGTGGCTCCCAGGATTTGCAGGAAGATGACGTTAAGGAATCTCTGGAAAGCGAAGCGGAGAAGGCCGCAGGAAGGCGCAAGAGCCCAGACTCCGAGCTGGGCAAAGACCAGGCCCCCAGTTCACCTACTGGGTCCAACACGGAGGAGAGCGGCCCTAGGGGCCCCTCCACTGAGCAAGCAGCGGAGGGGCAGCCTTCAAGACAAGGGCATGTGGAAAGCCTCCAGACGCCAGAAGGTGTTGTCAGGGCACACGCCGCTTACACAGAGCAGCACCTGGCGAACCAGGTGCAGGGCCTGCACTTGGGGGCTCCCAGAAGTGCAGGCCAGGCAAGACCAAGCGCACCACCACCACACCCTGAATCGCTTGGCTTTACACTGCACCAGGCTGCCAGTCAGGGCCCCCTAGCTCCAGCCCCCCAGGACCAGCCCCCACCTCAGACCGCCGCACTCTTCCCCCCTGCAAGGGCCCCTTCCCAGGTCCCTGACGCGGTGGTCAATCACCCAGGGTGGCAGATTGCCTGCCAGCTGCTACAGAGCACGCCCCCTGGGTCTTGGCCGGACCCCGCTCTTCTTGTGCTACTTGCGGCAGCAGAGCCTGGCGGTGCCGCAGCGCACCTCCTCAGGGCACTTCCGCCACAGGGTGGTGCCCGTCGCCCGGGTGCGCCAGGCGCTGGTAGGAAGAGTAGAGCCCACCCAGAATGGTCGAATGAGCGGCTCAGGTGCCCCCAAGGGGCACAGCAGGGGGAGCCGGAACTGCCAAGTGTGGTATTGGTTCCGCAAGCAGGAATTGCCAGATTAGTGGAGGAGAGAGTAGAGGTGGCTCCGTCTGGGGGCTTGCAAACCAGGAGGCTTAGGCCATTCTTCGGGATTGACCTAGAGAAACTGCCTGAGGCGGAGGACAACGTAGACAAGATGAGGATTGCTCCTAGGGGGGAGGCGGAAGACGCTGCTGGGGGGGGGAGGGCCGAAAACGCTGCTGACAGCGATTACACACGCCAGGGTCGTTCTGATGAGAAGGAGGAACGTGCGTTGGGAAAGCCACTTGAAGTGACAGCCTCAGCAGAGGCGCCCTCTGGCAAGGAGGGGGCCGGCGAGCGGGGCAGGGAGAACAGGGAAGGGGTCAGTCCAAGTAGTGAGCAGGAAGCGGATCCAGAAGGGGGTGGGGAGGAGGCAGTGGAGGGAGGGGGCCATGAGGATGGCCAGAGCATTCCTGGGAGTGGCGGTGCGCCAGACCCCACTGAGGGGCCAAGGCAGGCTCAGGAAGATATAGATGAGGTTTTCGAGGGAAGAAGAAAGGAGTCGGGAGGGGAGGCGGACGAGCATGCCCCGAAGGAAGGAGCCACTGCGGAGTCTCCGAGCGCACCGAGAAGCAGAGGAGAGAGTCAGGAGGAGGCTGTAGAAAAAGAAAAGGGGGATAGATGGGAGAACAGTGATGCTGCAGGGCAGCAGGGCGGCGCTGAGCGGGTGGGGGACAAGAAAGGGGACCGCCTGCGGGGAGGCACACGGGCCGAGGGGCCAGTGATGGGAGCAGGGCCGATGGAGTGGAAACATGAGAGACTGGGCAATAAGCACTGGCAGGAGCCAGGGCGGTTTGGGGGGAGGGAGCGGGTGTCCTCGGAGGATCCGCCCAAGCGGAAAGCGAGGGATTTTGGGTTTGCGCATCAGGATGTGAGCTGGCTACCTCTTTAGAGCGTTGCAAACTCCCTGCTCCAGAGCTTTTAGAAGTGTCATGCGCCGCTCTGTGACATAGTTGTTGCTGTGTACACTGCTTGTCCTTGCTTGTGGCCCCCTCAATTGCATCCTGAATTCTTTGAACTAGTCCTTGGAACTGTTGCGTCAAACGTTACCTTTCAGATCAATATCAGGGATGAGCTGGACTGCCATCGTGATGTCCGGGGTTGGGTCAATTGAATTGCTTCTGCTTCTTTATGTGGTCTCAAAACGGGCGCCCCAGACGTGTCTCGTTCCGCACGATTTGGCTCCATTGAGGACCACGTAGCTCATTTATCCCGTGTCTGAATTTTCGTCGACAACGGTTTCAGAGGTCGGACCACAGGGTTAGAGAGGTTGAACTTCATTTTCGTATGCCTGCCGACTTTGGATTAGAAGCGCTCAGATGGTGCGTTGTCTGAGGTTGCGCCTTCAGTTTGTTTACCTAGGTCTTTTGTAAGTGCAGGTATACAAGATCAGGCGGCGGGCCTTGCAAGAGGGAGGTCTGATGGCGAGCGCGCGCTCAGGTGCGTCTGGATCGCGCTCCCGCGATCAGCGCTCTCACCTGCTTGCATCGAGCAGGACCCGGTATGAAATTGAATGGTTTGGCGTTTGCGTTCTGTACACGCCATAGGTTACTGTCAATAGCATCAGGACGAAAACTCGGACGAAGTTCCAACCCTATCGTGATCTGCGGGTCCACATGCTGCCAAGTCTGTCCTAGGCTTCTTCTGAAACGGTCCGATCTGACATTTCGTGACCCGACCTGATTTCCGCACTCTCTTCCGCAGACCTCTCGCTGCTCGACCATTTGATCGGGGCTTCGGAACAGTCCGTCGACAGGGCCCCGCAGGGGCAGGACCCGCAGGACGGCCCGGGGCAGGCGGGGCGGGGGCCGTACCAGTGCAAGCTGTGTGGGGAGGTCTTCGCATACTCGCAGGCGCTGGGGGGCCACATGCGGTCGCACAAGTGAGCCGAAGCCTTTGCGACTCTGATGGAAGTGATAAGTTTGCGCCAACAGAGCTGGGGGACTGGTTCCTCGGAACCTCTAAAGGTGGTGAAAGAGCATGCGGAGTGTTTCGGGGCGTTGACGTGTTGATACCAGTGTCAGCTACCGGCGTTCTTCGGTGTGCAAAATCGGGCTTAAACAATTGTTGGACTTTCCCTTACGGTCTAGGTTGCCAAGCCTGCTTCGGGATCAAGGTTTTGCCCCCATCCGTTCTTGGCAGCAGTCAACTTTTTCTGCTTCAGAGCGCCCGTCGCTTATTCTAGACTCGGTCGGACTGTTGACCTCGACATCGGCTGAGTTGTGCTGTCGACACTCTCTCAGATATAACGGCGCCCTGCCTCCGCAACCCTCCCTCGACCAGTTCCAGCTGCCCCGGCCGCCGCCATCGCAGTTTCACAGCTTCCCTTCGGGAGCCCGGTCAAGCGGGGGCTTCCAGATTCAAGCAGACGCAATGGCAGCCGCATTGCAGGCTCTCGACGCTCCAACTCTGTCCCTAGGATCAGCATTAGGCTACATGAACCCTCCGCATAATCACGACGTCGCATTGGGGCTCGCCCAAGCGGGTGATCCCAGCACAGCGCTCGGTAGACCGGAAAGGGAGCGCCCGCCGGGCCTCGTGAACCAGACGGAGATCAGACCTACTGCACGCAACTTCCAGCATGGCAGCCCCATCACAGGGCCCGGTAACAGCCCGGTACGACCCTCCGGGGCGGATGCTCTGTTGCCGTCCCGCGTCCCCTCTCCCGCGTCCCCCATCATCTACCTGCCCGGCCAGGGGGCGGCCCCGGGGGGGTGGTTCGAGCTCGAGCCCGTAGACATAGAGCACCCGGAGCGGATTCCCCCGGTCAGCATCGGGGGGAGCCCAAAATTAGTCGCCGAGCAGATTCTGGAGGCCCTGGTTGGGTATGCCGAGCGGCCCACGACCGCCGCCGTCCAGCCGGCTCTCCCCGACGCAGGCGCGGCCGCGCTGTTCTCTCTGTACGAGCCCCTGTCGGCAGTGGAGCAGACAGGCATCCTGGACCAACTGCGCGGGCAGCAGGTTGACGAAAGCAGGGCAGGTGGGGGCCTGGCGAACTTGGCAACAACCGGGGCCCAGGGCTGGGCTCCGGGGTACGGCTCTCGGGGTCCTGCCTGAGCAGCAACCGGTCAGCTTGAGACGCAGTCAGAGCGAGGACTGCGAGGTGGCACAAATGGTCGGTAGAATTAGCTTGCAAGGTTTCGGGACGCATTATTTTGAACTTGCACAGTGGAGCTCTGTGTCTAGGAACAGGTGCACGGTATCGGCAGACGCTGCGACTGCAAGGAGCATTTTGCGGCGGCGCAGAAGAGGCTAATGTCTAGGAAGCAGAACAACTGCACGCAATTGCACCGGCCTATCACAGGGATAGGAACGGAATTTTGGCATTCTTAGATTGATCATCAGGCAGTAGCAAAGCTTGAAGTGCTACTTTAGAGAGCATTAGGTGGTAGCAGAGCTTTGAAGTGCTGCTTTAGTGATCATCAGGTAGTAGCAAAGCTTTGAAGCGCTGATTCGGCGAATCACATCGATGCATCGAAAAGTGCATCTCCGCCTGAAATTTGAGATCAGATCACGGAGACTCCAACAGACGGAAGAATCGGACGTACCATATTGGTGTTATAAGGATTCGTTTGCAGATCAGAGCATGATTGTCATTGAATCGCTTACTGTTCTGCAATCGTTGTCGGATTAAATTGCAGTTTTGACCATCCGAGGCCGCGGTGCATCATGTGGATGCAGCTGCGCGACCACCATTATTAAACATGATTGTTGCACTGAGACCACGCTCAATGTGGACCGTCGGCCGATCGCTCATGTCATATACAGCTTCTGTAGGCAAGAAGTCGACCTAGGCATATACCTAACCGGCCGGACCCGGTTTTGCACTGACGGGCGCATGCCGACATGCTTTTAATTAAGGGTGTGCAAACACGTAAATCAATCATATCATGTGCAGCCTCACATCATGGTATAGGAAGTTAGGGCTCCAAAGAAAGTGATTGCTCAATTTTTGTCCCGGCCTGCATTTAGCTTCAGCACATGTCAATGGCCCATGTGGTGCAGTTGATCACGTAGGAAGGTCACGAGCCGCGTCATGCATTTCATACGGTGTGCCAGACGCGCTGCTTTTCTGCATGAGTCAATTACTTGATTGATCGAAGTTGCAATCGGAGGTTGGTTGCAGTGACGCTTGATCGCCTTGATTTGATATACTAGTTGCGATTAATACATCCACTGCATTTAGTATCATGAAGCGATAGCTGCACATCGCTCAGCAAAGAAGATGCGGTGCACCTGAGAGAGAAGCCTGCTTTATCCGCATATATTTCGAATGTTTAATGCGACCTGCTGCATTCAGTACTTCATATCTTGGAAACACGGTACATGTGTGCCTTTTCACAGATTAGCAATGGAGGCGCCGAATGCTGCTTATGGAAGTTCCGCCCTGACAACATGAAAATTTACTTAGACGTGACTAGTAGCATGCAAAGTGCAGAACTGGTGACCATCTCCGAATGTCCTTGGTGAGACGTCCATATTGCTTTGCGTGTAACTCAGTGCGATTCCATCCTCGGGCCTAGTCGAATTTGTCGCACGCTTCCGACTGGAATAGATCTGCAACATGGCTTAGTGCGTAGTACACGTCCTGCACATGCGTGCAAACTGCGGCACATCTCCGCAATCACTGAAGAGGATGGAATGGAACATTTCGAAACCCAACCCACAGAATCGAACCTCCGGGGCTGAGTACGAGCTTGAGCCATGAAGACGACTAATCACCATGCGGCTTCCAGACGTCAGGCTGGCGCTTCCTTGGTCCTTTTTTTGGCGTCTCGCCCCAATTTCCGGACCGCAATTGCTGAACGTCTCCACTCTCGAGCCGGTACCTGGAAAGTGAATGCAAGTGCATTGTGGAGCGACATAGAAAACTGTCGATGCTCTCTTTGACAGAGCTTTCAATACCCTAAGCTGTGTCCGCCAGAACCTCAGAACCGGCGCCGGTACTTAGTAGCCAACCAACAATATCTCAAACCCTGTAAATATCTCCTGACTGAAATCCGACCGACGACACTTTTTAGTATTGATTCGCCAGACACTTGAAGGAGGGTGCAGATGGCGACCTGGAGAACAGCGAGCATACTTACCGCTGGAAAGCCGGCATAATCGCCTTTCTCTTTGATGTCGGACATTACCCCCGTCTTCGCAGCTAGTCGTACCTGCGAACCAACACGCGCTGAAGTCGGTCAAGGACGCTCCTCGTGTTCAGCAACGGAGCAAGCACACAGACAGCGTTGCTTGACAACACCTTCGTGCATTGTCTGCAGATGGACACTCAAGACTTTGGAGGAGGTAGGCGTACAGGGAACTTGCGAACTACGACGCCACGCAGCCCACCTGCGGATGCACTTTGACGTGGTCGGCTATCCCCGCCTTCCCGCCCATCACCACATAGTCGCCGAGCCTGCAATCGGGTTGCGGGCTGTCAGGTGCTTCTTCTCCCGACGTCCAACTGTGGCCTGCCGTTCCCTTGCGCGAAGAACCATAAAAGCATACTCTGGAGGCAAGAGTCGGGCTCCATCCAGGTTGATAAGAAATACTCTCTGTCAACATGGACGCAGCTTTCGCGGGAAGCTACAATCAACGAACAACAACCGTGATTGAGCAGTGCCTGTCGTGCAGCCTGCGGACGCGTTGGACTCACTCGGCCGACCCCCCGATGGCCGCATGCCCACAGAGGATACAGCAGCGCCCGATCTTGACGTTGTGGCCAACCTGCGTGGCTGAAGTGCTGGTCAGAAGGTGGAATCATATGCGAGAGCAGGACAATAACCCTCAAGTAACTCGACTGACGATCAGAAGCCCGCTATCATTCGTGTGCAAAAAAAAATCTCATGCTGTCCCGAAACCGTAACAGCTTGGCTCGGCATTCTAGAACAGCTGCTGCATCCCACCACCGTGCACGATCCTCGAAAGAAGCCAACGGGTGGACATGGAGGAACATAAGATAAGAACCCGGATCTTTTCACTTGTGATGGCTCCTCACCTGCACCAAATTGTCAATCTTCGTGTGGTCCCCAATCTCTGTATCCCGCCAGCTGCAACACGGCAATCAAAAAGCTCCTTTTCCTCAATATTCCTAATTTCTGGAGCGCATCATGGCTCATGACCATACCAGACGAGGTTTGGCTGCTTACAATCCTCTACCTGTGCTTCCATGTTGAGACCGCATCCATACATCACCGCCAATTCGTCATGTGTAACAAGTCTTCAGTAAAAAGAATTATTCTCTTTCAGCTGCATGATGAGACCTCGTAAGAAAAACTCTCTGTGCGAGATGCCCGATGAAAAGTGTGTATGACGGCCAGAACAGCATCGAAATTGGCGCGTCCACATTTGAAGAAATCGAACGCTGGACTTCTCATCAGCTTCGGCATCAGAAAGGGTAGATGGTAGATTTCAGCCGAATTGAAAGAATCAATTTGCAGATGATCGAGCTAAGGGCCATGGCATGGGCTGCGCAGGGGACTTCACCTTCCGCGGTCAACGCAGCTATTGGCCCCGATTTCCACGTTGTTTCCAATGATTACGTTGAGTTCCTGCAATTACTCCAACTTTCATCAGATTTGAAAAGCTCGAGATCACCAGCAGTCCTCAGAGAAATGGCACTGCTGCCTTTCGTTCCAACAAACTAACATCTTGACTTCCTTGATAAACGAACTTGGATGCGATTGTGTATAAGCAAGTTAATTAAAACTACAATCTGGCCTCTGCCTTCGCTATGGATGGGCAAACATGAACATGGCTGGATGATGGAGGCAATACCCGGAGGGGAAAAACGAGCTCCCTACTTTGGTTATACAGTGATAGAAAGACAGCAAGAAAGCCTTGCGGAGCCTTCAGATCCGCAATCATGAAGGACGTATGCCCCACATACCTGAGGCTTCTTTATCATCTCCCCCTTCTCGTTGACAAAGAATCCAAAGCCTGCGGCAGAGCAAAAACATGTTTGCAGAGGCCGTTGCACTAACTATTGTAGAGACAGCCAGATGTTTTTGGACATCCGTCTTGTCCTCTCCTTTCGATGATGAGTTGCACGGACACTGTATAGAGTCAAACTCGAAGAGGACCTGGTGCCCATTGCTCTACACTAATTTGGAAGCGACGACATCAGATTCCTTCATGCTGGATCCTTGTTGGCAGGCTTGAGAGGTTGAGAGCGGTTTCTCACCGTCTTGACCTACGGAGACACCGTTGTGCAGTATGCAATCGCGTCCAATGGTGCAGTGCAGTAATGACACATTGTGCCTACAACAAATTGAGAGAAGCGAACAAACGTGATGATGTCAGCCACCAAGCGCTGATGCGGTGGGCAAAGCGGCCCGTGCGTTGGTCCTCTTTTGCTTGTTGCTGTGCCTCTTCAACTGGGGAGATGCCCAAGGATAGCTATATGTGAAAAGGGGCAGACAAATCTACATGCTGAGACAGAACTTGAAAAAGTACAAGCCAGTCCATGCCATCAAGTGGTGGGCGCGACATCCAAAAGCATGGCCGGTGGATTGCTTGCGGTAGGAAATTGTGAATTTGCGTGTATAATTAACCCTCACAGAAGGGGTGGAGATCAGGACCACAAACTTCTCCTGAGACAAAGATGCGCCCTCACCAGAGAACTGTCCTTTCACCAATTCTCACATCGGGTCCTACAACAGAGCAGGCACCAATCCGCACATCCTTCTCAACCACCGCCCCCCTTTGGACCACAGCACCGTGTTCTATGAAAGCACTGAAATGCACATCTGCTTCTTGATGGACCATGCCTCCGCCATTTGGCCAGCATTTGGTCTCCGGAGGTGAAGGCGCTGCGTGGAAGTGTGAGCTGGTAGCCTGAGAATGGGAGTCTTGTCTCTCACGGGCTTGTTCCGAACCATTTGTCATACTAAGAGCAACGGCGTTTACTGACTGCACATGAATCGCTGTCTGTGGTGTTGACAAAGCAATGCCTGGCGGTGGAGTCTGGATGTGAGACAACAGGCGAGAGAGGAGATATGTCTGCACACTAAGGGTCGGCAGCTCTGAACAGAATGCCACTTTTTTGGCTTCCCGCTTCGCAAACAGATGCAGACCAGCCAGCTTTCTTTGAGCCAGGAGCGCCATCGGGGAGATCACAGATTAATCCAGTCCAAGCCTCATGCAACTTGGAAGTGGTTTGCGAAGTGCTGATATCGAAATCACAAAGCTGTTCAATAATTGCTTCACCGCACAGCTACCGATGTAGCAACGGAGGGAGCTGATGCTAGATCCTCTAAGGTCTAGCTAGCGCCATGCGAATAATACGCACACATGTACCTACTCCTCGATCCTACTCCTAGCCTAGTACTATAGTAGTAGGTAGGTACGAGTCACGACTCACGAGTGTGACCAGACTCGACCGTCGCCGCCGCCGCGCCCGGCCATAGGCTGTCACGGTAGTACTACTACACCTGGCGCGGCCGCGCCGCGCAAGATGGTAATGATGATACCATTACCATGAAGGCAGTGATGCACGTGGAAGTTGGAACCCACATTGTAGCTTTGTATTCTTTGATTGTTAATACTATTAATATACCGGGATAGAAGACCAGCATCTGATTCATAAGCCCCCGTATTTCTACATTATTGACGGGATCCTTGGACTCGTTATAGATTTGAATCGGGACCCTCAAGAGAGGCATATTTTGAAGGTTAGAAGAAGGGATAGCCGCATGTGAGGTCGCAACTAGTATAACGCCCCATTGGAGCCGACCAACGCTTATACCGCTACCCTGATTCTGCGATAATCTGCAATTCAGTCTGTGAACCTCAATGTGAGGTTTCTACCAAACACTTATGCATGTGCGTATGAGCAGAATATTGTCTCAATATATGAGTATTAAGGCCTCGGATGTGCCGAACTCGTGTCCGCAATCTTTTGTGCAAGTCTGATTGGCAGAGAAGGAGATTCCGAAGATCGATTCCTCCACGTCGCCACCAATCGGATAAAAAGAGCAGCGTTGCCACATCGCCGGGTGCGTCGTGTTCTGTTTTCGACGAGGATCGGTAAACTCTACTTTGCAGGCCCTATCTTTGAGGTTCTCGTCGAAAGATGGCTACGTAACGGACCATTTGAAAGTTCATGACTGTCAGAAATGTTGGAGGCACACAAGCTAGGTTGAGGCCACCGTTCTTTGCGACTCCCAACATGTTGGGAATGGTGGTCTTGAGCTCTAGCTAGACTGCCACCTTCAGACCTGCGTCCAGTTCCTCCTTGGACCTTCCCCCTTGCGTTTAACGGCTCTACGTGGTCTTTGTGGTGCTGTTGGCCTCTCTAGATTGTTTTGCAGCTGACGCTGGGTTTAAGTGAAAGATTGCAAATTGTCTTACGCCAGCGGCTTCCAGTCACCTTTTCTTTTCTCCACATTATTCGGGTCCCATGCTGGAAAGGCTGGTTGGTAGGAAGAAGAGTTGCTGAGCTTTCCTCCTGGACTTTAAAATCTCCACACATCATGGCCGCTACTGCCGCTGTTGCCTGCTCTGGGCAGCTCAGCCAGTCTTTGGGACTGGCCAGGAGCAGGTCAGATGCATCCAGTGCGTTCATGGGGACGGCACTGCCAAAGCCTGTGCTCAGCAGGTCATGCTCTCAGGGAGTGCAGCGGACAGGAGTGAAAGCCCAGGGCGAGGTGAACCTGCGGGACCCTCGCAAGGTGCCTAACAGCCACAAGCTGACGGGAAAGGCAGCGAGCAGCGCGGCGTTGCAGCAGTTGAGGATGGCTGGAGTGGCAAATCGTGAGTCGCAAAGGAGTCTTTTGAAGCTAGGCTCAATTTTTATCGTATCAAAACAGTAGGTTTTCTCCCAGGTTAAAAGAACATACTGGAAACTTCCACCGAGATGTTAGTTTACTCTGGTGGATATTATCCAAAACCCTGGTTGGGTATAAAAGCAAATGTTCAGGCGTAGGTTCTGCTTGTGGAATCCTGTAAGCAGTGCTACCCCGCTTAAAGCACAGTAACCATCAAGAGCAGGACGTAATTGTTGCTTCCAAGTCTGCATAGATTCATACATTTTGGTCGATAGGTGCCAGTCAAGTAAGCACTGTTTCGCCATTGCTGGCAAAAAGATGTCAGAGATTCAGGTCCGCATTTAAAGCCTTATGTCTGCTCCGGAGGCAACTCACAGGTACTTTTGGATGTAAATCGAACCACTCTATGGAATTTCATCGGGAGAGTTTCTAACCCTTAATTGGTTAGAGGCGCGAACTTCGACGCTTTTCAACGCTCTTGTGGACCAGTCACCTTTAGTTATACCCTGGCGCCGATGTTTATCACTCCAACTCTACAAAGATTAATCAGCCCGGCACTTTGTTTTGTAGGGTACACAAGTGAGAAGAGCAGCATTCTGGTCATTGGCTTGAGCGTGCACACTGCTCCTGTCGAGATCCGCGAGAAGCTTGCTGTGCCGGAGGCGGAGTGGCCGCGCGCTATCGACGAGCTGTGCAGTAATCCTCATATTGAGGAGGCGGGAGTTTTAAGCACATGCAACCGCATGGAGATCTATGTGGTGGCCCTGTCGTGGCACAGGGGGATCAAGGAGGTGACCACCTGGATGTCGAAGGTGAGCCAAGAAACTTCTGGGACACACCAGAGAAAACAGTTGTATAGGCCCAGTCCCTGTAGTAGCTAGAACCTGTGAGGAATTGCAGGTTTCTGGCTTGCCACAAGTTCTTTGCCAGTGGGTTGGTGGCTGTCTTGAGCGGAGGTCCGCCACTGCTATTGTGCCAGGTGCATCTTCTGGAGGTGGCGGGGCAATGCTGTGGAACGTGATAAACAGTTAGTTAGGGGTTGTCATCTTGTGCAGTTGGACAAGACAAGGGGCTTGCAAAGGTGCTAGCTTGCCCGGTTTTGGTGCTTTCATATGCTGTCTGCATGTTGGACCAGCAGTGTGCCATCAAGGTAGAGGCTGACACCGTTTTCATTTTGCTTTGATCTGCAGAATAGCGGTGTCCCCATTGAGGACCTCACGCCGCACCTGTTCATCCTGCGCAACCGCGACGCCACCAGCCACCTCTTTAGGGTTGCCTCTGGCCTGGACTCCCTTGTTTTGGGAGAAGGCCAGATTCTGGCCCAGGTCAAGAAGGTGTATGAGGCGGGTCAGCCAGTCACCGGCTTTGCGCGCAACCTCAACAGTCTCTTTAAGTATGCAATTACGGCCGGGAAGAAAGTGCGGACGGATATCAGCATCTCGTCTGGGGCGGTGTCGGTCAGTTCGGCGGCGGTGGAGCTGGCGCAGATGAAGCTGCCGCTGGCGCTGGGCGAGGCGGCGGTGTGCATCGTGGGGGCGGGCAAGATGTCCAAGCTGCTGGTCAAGCACCTGCTCTCCAAGGGCTGCCAGAAGATGGTCCTGCTCAATCGTTCACGGGAGCGCGCAGACGAGCTTGCGGCAGATTTTCCTGAGGCGCAGATTGAGTACCAGCCGCTGACGGAGATGATGCGGTGCGCGGGGGAGGCGCAGATTGTGTTCACGAGCACGTCCTCAGTGGACCCGCTGTTCCTGAGAGAGGATGCAGACGCGCTGCCTCCAGTGTCAGAGGCGGCGGGGGGGAAGCGTTTGTTCATTGACATCAGTGTGCCTAGAAATGTGGGGTCGTGTGTGAACGAGTCAGCCATCTCTCGGGTCTTCAACGTCGATGACTTGACGGAGGTTGTGGCTGCCAACAAGGAGGACCGGAGACGGAAAGCTCTAGAGGCGCTGCCAATCATCGACGAGCACTTGGACATGTTTGACTCGTGGCGGGACAGCCTGGAGACAGTGCCGGTGATCAAGGCGTTGCGGCAAAAGGTGGAGGATGTGCGGATGGGCGAGTTGGAAAAGTGCGTCAAGGCGATGGGTGGGGAGGGGATGACCAAGAAGCAAAAGAAGGCGCTGGAGGACATGTCGCGGGGCATCTGCAACAAGCTCCTGCACGGGCCCATGACGTCCCTAAGATGCGACGCAGGGAGCGATCGCACCGTAGAAGAGACCTTGGAGAACATGGCTGCGTTAGAGCGGATGTTTGAATTGCATAGGGGCCCCGTGATCAGGTAGACAGTTCACTTCCAGTCTGGGGTCCGGTCTACCCCAGTGAGCTCGCAGTCAGGAAAGTTTTTGATCTCTCAAACGTGCAGCAGATTTGTTGCAATGAAGTGATGACACAAGGTTCAGAGTTGAGTCGTTCAGTAGTACCTTCAGGGAGTCGTGCTTTCGTGATTGAGCGGCAGACATGTGACTCGAAGAGTTGCATTTAGCTGATCATACACAGCCTCGGAGCACAAACCTCGAGTTGACTAGTAGGCTATCCCTGAACTTCATGTATTCTAACTAGAACTGAGAAATAAGTACCAATCTGACAGCTTTACTTGTTGCATGGAGTGCGTTTGGGTCGAGAGCAATGTTCCAGTTCCATGTTGAATCAAAAGAGTTTCCTATGCATCATTGCAATGCCACAGCATTGGAGGCGCATAAATCGAGCTGTGAGCCTGCCGCGTTGGGGCCGCGCACTGCAAAGTGGCATCCTACACATGGAAAATGAACTATCCAACAGTTGTCAGCACGACCATGATGCAACCATGTGAGTGCGCAACTTCCATGACTGTGCATGCCGCGCACGCCGGCTGGTGCAGATATCAAGCTGTCGAATTACCATCGATAAGGTAGGCACTCGTACACCGTTCCAATCAGTAGTACATTCTTAACGTGCTGAGCTGAAGCATCTTCGTATCTTGCGCGACATAGATGAACATGAACACATGTGTATCCGGGGCAGCCACGAGCTCACGTTGCATGCTGGGTATGCATGTACGCGTACGACCTTAAATTTCAGATTGAATATATTTGAAAGATGGGCATGCGGGCCTCCCGTGCCACTTAAATAGTGTATGCTAGGCGATCACAAACAACGGTGCTATGCACCATGCAAACTTTGCAATCTCCCAAAGTCTGTGGACATTTGTCAAAGTCTTGAGGAGGCACTCTGTGGATTGTCCTTTCAAAGCATCTGAATATAGAGGAGTTGGATCATCCAGCAAGTGGTCTATTATGTGCAGGATCGTGCATTCGGTTGCGGAACATTGATGTACAAAGGCGCGTTCACTTCTCCGGAAGTTGAGATTCACAAACAGCGTGTAGTTCCAAATAACAGCCTTTGCATCCTGGCCTGTGACCCGTATCAATGTACAGGCAATCAGCTTAAGATCGAGCAGAAGTCCTATCAACTCCTTGGCGCCCCTTCCACTTGACTCTGGCGGGACAGTGTGTCTTGATCCGTTGTTAAGGGTGCAATTCCTATCAACTCTCCGTCCCATCCCTCTGACTCTGTTTCCAGTGCCTCCAGCCAGCCCCGCACCCTGCACTCCACTGCTGACCGCTCGTCCAGCACCGGGACCGACAGCGCCGTTTCAACCGCTCCTACAGAACTGACGCATCCCGTACAAGCCAAAGAGGGCACAGAAGACTCACTGTGCATGTCCAACTCGCTCGCGGTAGCCTCTTCACTGCCCCCATCGGCTGACGTGTAAGCACCAACCGAAGACTCTGAAGTAAGGTCCACCGTCGCCTTCTCGAAGGAGCAGCTCACCACGGGCTGTCCCTCTGACCTCCCCAGACCTGTCGCAATCTGCCCCACGGCAGTGCCAGGCGACGGGGGCGCGCGTGTCGTCACACTGGCGCTGGCCTGGAGGTCGTTGGGCAAATCCAGGGGATTGAGCTTGGTTCCGTCAGTCTCCCCTGCTTCGCGCTTACCGGACATTGGGTCCTGCTCAGGCCCGTCCTCCGCGAAAACATCCCCCATCACTTCTGGTATCACTTCTTCCTCGTCCTCCGATTCTGCATCCAGCTCCACCCTCGCGTTTACCCCACCTTTTTCACTCCCCCAAGCGGTATCCATCCATCCCGACTCTACGCCCCGCACCCCATCCTCTTCCAAGGGCCCTTCGCCGGTCTCCGCCCCGTCGCCCGATCCGCTCTCTGTATTGTCCCGCTCTTCGGACTTGTCGCCGACTTCAGCGCCTTTATCTTCCTCCGTCCCGTCAACCTCTTTGAGTCCCAGCGGAGGACTTTCCGCTTCTGTATCCCTATCTCCCGCCTCCTCCAGCACATCGGTCTCGGCGTCGCTTGTTTCGCCCTCGTCTTCCGGCCATTCCGCGTTTCCCAGAGCATCTTGCGCAGATCTCTCTACCTCTCCGCCTCCTTTTGCCAGCCTCATCTTCTCCAGCCCCTCTGCCACTTTCTCCACCGCCGCTCGCTCGTTCTCTTTTCCCTCTTCCTCCTCCCGCCAGTCTAGTTCCTCCTCCCGCAGCCTGTCCTCCAGCACGCCCCTCTTCAGCTGTAGCTCCTCGCACTCCTCGCGCGCGCGCTTCCTCTCACTGCGCACCTCCTTCAGCCGCCCCTGCAGCCGCGCCACCACTTCCCGTTCCGTTTCCGCGCTCCGCTCCGCCTTTTCCGCTGCTTCCCGCGCGGACTCAAGCTCGGCTTCCAGCTTCTCAACTCGCTCCGTGCAGACTTGCAGGTCGTGCTGGAAGGCGGCCTCCCGCTGCTCCGCGAGACTGCTCTGCTGCTCCGCCTCCGCTGCGCGGATCTGCCACTGGCGCAGCGCCGGCATGTCCAGGTCCAGTTGCATGGCCAAGTCCTCGCACCTGCACCCAAGGCCATAAAGGAACCGTCAGATCTGATTAAGAAAGGCGATGGAACGAGAGCCCCGACCTTGGGAGGAAACATTCAACGGACGGCCTTCGAGCGGTCCAATAGAACCGAACACAGCGTAGTAAAAGCTCGACGATAGAGCGTTCACACCACCCCATCAATCCAGAAAGTTGAAAACCTCAAAAATAGGTGCAGCAGCGGACGAAACTTACCAGGAATATGAAACCTGCGTCCTCCGAAATGGTTTTCAAGAGGAGGTATGAACAAGTTTTGCCCTGACAAACTGGTTTTACCGTGTAACCCAAAGACCTAACTGGCACGGAACTTCGCTGACTCAATAGCTCAATGAGCAACATGTTATATGCTGATTGAGGGAGGTTTTAACGAAGGGGCCGACTCTTAAAGGAACAAAATGAGTACCAAAGAAAGCTGTGAATTTCAACAAGGCGCCTGGACCGACGAATTCTGGTTCAGGCATCGGACAGGACGACCCATTGGCAAAGCGGACTCTGGGCTGCTTATATGCAGCCTTGGAGCACAAAGCAATTAGCCAGTGCTTCGCCAATCTTTAGAAGCTGTAGAGTGTGTCGAAGACGTACACGTAGACGGAGGGCATCACGTCTTGGCCCGGGCCCCGGATTCCCCTCAGGACCAGCTTCGACCGGAGATTGCTGGTCAGCGTCGGATTATGATTCGAGCCTTACTCTTCTTTGAGCTTCTTGATGCTTGTCTCGAGTATTCGCTTCTCCTCCTCGCACGCCGCGCTCTTCTTCCTCAGCGTATCGCGTTCCACCCTGCGCGCGAAGACCGGGCTGTCAGCAGTAGATCGACGTAGCTCATGCAGAGGTGCCGTTAGCAACGCGCTCGCGGCCCTTGCCACGACGGATCGATGTTCTGCAAAAGATCCAGCATGAACCTATCCATACAGGCCTTCTACTTCACTGACGAATCAGTCTGCCGCTTGCGTGAATTGTCTCTTCGTCTTGTCCTTGCTTTTTGATTGTGAGCAACCGAGGATTCCGCCCACCGCTGAAAGCGTATTTTCTCGCGCTCAGGTTCGTTTCTTCCAACAAAGCCGCTTTCGTTCCAAAGAGGAGCTGGCTGAACCATTGCTCATCCTCGACAAACATCACATGGCTCTGACATCCAAAGCGTGCTCCCTTACTTGAGTTCCGCCCGCTCCTGCCGCAGCCCCCGCAGCCCGCGCTCCGCCTCCTCCAGCGCCTCTTCTGCTTGCGTCAGCTGCAGCGCCAGCCCCTCCCGCACTTTCTGAATCTCCTCCCGCAGCCGCTCCTCCTCCTCCTCCTTCCTCGCAGTCTCCGCTTGCGCCTCGCGAATGTTGCCAGCCAGCTCCCGCTGCCTTTGCGCTGTCTGGCCCCACTCCCCAACCAATTCGTCCCGCTTCCTCTCCGCCGCCTTCAAGCTGTCAGCCAGAGCCTCGTTCTCCGCGCGCTTCGCCTCCAGCGTGCGCGCGTGCTCGCGCACCTCCTGCTCGACGAGGGCCACCTCGCACAGCAGGTCCTCCCGCCGCTGCGCGGCCGCGTCTCCTTCCCGCAGTAAGCATTCCTTCTGCCCCTCAAGCTCGTGCAATCGTGCGGCCAGCCCGGCGTTCTGATCCACAACCGTTATCGCGGCGTTCCTCTCCGAAAGTTGGTTGACGCTGAGGCTTTCCCGACGGGCGCCAATCGCCTGGGGCCGTGCAACTGTCGACCGTTCCTCAAACGGTGCCCGAACTGTCGCACCAAGAGTGCGGGTCACTGTGTCTCTGCCCCGCCTCCAACTCAGTGTTTGCAACTCGTCTCCGCTGTCCGATGAGCCGTCGCTCAGATTGCACGCGCGCGCAAAGTCCGCCTCCAGCCTCCAGCTGTTCAGGTCCCGCTGGCCCAGAGGTGGCCGGGGCAGGCTGGGGGAGCCAGATGGCGCATTCCGGGAGTGACACGTGGCGGCAGCCCCTTTGACGATCGGCCTGTGTTCCGGCGGCTGGCTCCACGAGAGTCTCCGCGCTTGGGAGTGGGTTTCGGCGCGGTTCTCGTTGGAATAGGAGATGCGCCGGAATGGGGCGGGGCTGGTGGCGGCGGGGCAGGGGGAGGAGGCATTGGCGCTGGACCGGCGGGGGGTGCCGCCCTTGGACTGCTGGTTTTGCAGGTTCCTCCACTGCGAAAGAGTTGAGCGCAATTTCACGACGCTGCCCGCTCTGATGCGAAACGAGGCCATCATTCTGCGAAGCAGAAGTTCTGTCCGCCAAAGTCTTGAGATTGCAAATGGTGGTGGCAAAGTGACATGCTGCCAACTAGATGAAAGTTGCAAAGTATGTAAGACTGCAACTGGAGAGACCCTAGCAATTGCTCACCCTTCGCCCAGGAACTCTAGAAATTGCTTCATGATGGATGAGTGCGGCTCCACAACTTCAGTCCGCGGCCCCGCAAAATCCCCTCTTCCGACCAAGAGACAGCTTTGCTCCCGGTTCCAGCGCGGCCGCTCACCTTGTCGTAGAGGTCCTTTGGTTCGCGCTGCGCGTCCCGGAAGATGCGGTAGCCCGCCAGGATCTCGCGGCACTTGTGCAGCGGCAGCGACCGCTGGCCCGGCTCGCTGTGCTTGGCCACCGCCGCCTGCAGCGCGGCCGTCTCCTCCGCCGTCCACGGCTTAGTCGACCGCCGCTGCTCTCCTGCGCGAAAACCGGACAGAGGGATGAACAAGTCGTTCCGGCAAAAGGAGCCAGCTGCGAGCAGTGGGTATGTAATTTGGATGTGGGAGCTGGTGCCCTCTTGTTTGCAGGGTTGCTCGGGCTTTGCAACATCATCAACACAAATAAGACGGCGGTCGTGCGACTTCTTCGAGCCGGCCGCTTCAATCATGCGAAAGGCATGCCTAAGTTAAGACCAAAACGCATCAGGTTCCGCTGTGAGCTGCCTGGTATAAGTAAGGCCGTCCAGCTGCACGCCAGTCCAGCTAATACGGGGAGTGAGTTCGAAAGCGGAAAGAACGCTGAAAAGTAAGTTCAACTTTCAAAGACTATTGATGTTGCTTCGGCCTTGAGTTTACAAATGCTTGCAGCCGAAGCTTTCTTGACCCAAGAAGGCGGCAAGATACGAGGCGCTGGCTCCGACATCCAGCACTCCAGTCGGCGCCCCACCTTTCTTGATCTGTCTGACTGCTCCCGGGCCCTTGCTGCTTGCTTGCGCGTCCATGCTGACCACTGCTGACGCGATGTAGGCCGTCCGGCTCAAGCTGGGAGCAGCCCAGTCCGCGACCACGTGGTGCGCCTCGCCGTCGCTACCAAAGAAGAGAGCGAACATGCGCTGCCTGCAGAGAGGGGCCAACATAGTCAGTGAGGATCCTGTCACGGTGTTGTTGCAGCGAACTCCTCTCCAACCTCCACTCAGGGGTTGCATTTGGAAGCAGAGCTGTTCAGCTGTTATAAAATCCACAGATTCACGGATTTGTCGAATGAGCTATAGAATGAAGAACAGCAACGTCTGAAACGCTTCCGCCTCTGCCAGCTTTGTACGTTGTGAGAGTTGCTGAAGAGAACCAAGGACGCCAGGATTAATGAGCAATTGCGGTAGACTATGAGGCAGGCTGGCGACCTGAGTACGAGGTCGGTGGAGGCGAAGGTGCTGATGAAGCGCGTGAAGTGGACGCCGCACTGGAGATCATACCAGGGCACCAGGAACTCGAGCTGGTCGCCCTTGTGCTTGTTGGCCTCCCAGTAGATGCTGGCCAGGTTGGGGAGCACCGACAGGCCGCCCCCTGAACACACACGGAGCATACTCAAAGGGGGATTGTAAAAGAGAACGGAGCAGGCAGCGCGGCACAGGCAGGCTGCCTGTTGTGGGAGTGCAGTACCAGCTTCAGCTCAAACCGAAGGCGAAAAACCAATACCAATAGGGCAAAAGCAACATTGAAGCCTCATCGTGGAGTGGAGTTGATGCGCAACGTGCCTCGGGCAAGGATGTGATATTCGTCGAAGCACCCGACTGTTGTGCTCTCGAAAAGCTTAGCCGCTGCACAACCATTTCTCGAAAAGAATATTGCTGCACATATCAGCGTCAGTAGTCAGACGTGTCACGCAAGTAGGAGCTGCCGTGGAAGTAACGCAGAGGAATCTGTGTGAATGGCTCACTTGCAACAGGGAACCAGTGGTCAATCTGGCCGTAGAGTGGAGAGCCCGGCTCTGCCAAACGGTACAGCACGTTGCCATACTTGTCTACACGGATCAAGCTGTCGTCAAAGCCCCTGCAAGCGGATTGACAAATATGATCGTATCTTTGCATCCAGGATGTTGCGAGGTTTGAAAAGACGACAGGCGGGTTGACCTGTCCTGTTCTGGTTTCACCAACTGACATGCTGTTGCCCAGGCCACTTTCAGGAGAGGGATGTACTATCATCGTGAGCCTTCATTACTTCAATCATAAACTGCTCCAAGTGAAGTGCATCTCTTATGGCGTTTCCAACACAAAAGCCTTCAAAAAGGTGAGGTTGGCACCTTAAGGAGTCCAGCTGATTCCACAGGGCTTGTCGAAAGCGCTCGGTGCTGGTGCTTGCTCTGTCACTCTCTGGAATGACAGGGAACTGCGCTTCCAGCGCAATGACATCAACCTCCTGTATTGCATAGAGCATGTGAGAGGTGCAAGGGGCCATAGCTTTTAGTGGAGCCACAAAGATAGAACGCGAAGTAACCCAACCTAAGGAGGGAGCTCCACAATTAGAATTTCTCGAGTTCTGCTCAAGCTCATCAAAGACAATAGTATCAGTGACCTAGTCGCATTATGGCAGAGGTAGAGCGCTCACTCCAATTGGGCTTACCTCATTGACTGTGACAATGTCAGAAACAAAGGCTGTCGGGGGCCCGCAAGGATACCGAATGTAGCGGCTCCGCAGCGCCCCTTTGCAGATGCGCTCAAACTTGCGAGGGTATCCACTTTCTGGATCAACAGCACCATCCACCGCCGTGCATGATGTCATTGCTGGTCGCGCAGCTTTGACTGCACAGGCAGATCGAAATAGACACAGGAAGGAAGATCAATGAACTGCAGAATGCCTTTGCAGGAAGATTCTGGTGACACAGGTTTTTTCCAAGCCGTCTTGAGCCTCAGCTTTTCCTGTCTGAGAATTTTTTTCAGAAAGCCTCATTGTTCATGGGGCAATGCATGCTTGCGCTTGCTTCCAGATGTGGGAGTAGTGATTTCCTGCTGGTGAATTGCATGAATTTTGCCCCCAGTGGTGCTTTTTGTGGGCCTTATCAGAAGCATGGACACTGAGGGACAGATCTCCATCTACAATAACAGTCTTCAAGCTTTCCGGATCTTAAAGCTGAAAACTGGGTTTTGACTGTCTTGATTGGAACAGCCCCAAGGGTTTCTTGTCGCCTATCATGAGGAAGGACGGGTGTCATGGACAAGACATGTCAGTGACTGGCAAAACATTTTACAGACAGGTAAGGGCTCACCAAGCTCCAAATGCGTAAGTAGCAAATGGCAGACCCTGCTTCCGATCCTGTGGAGAATTAAATCCTCTTGTCCTGAGTTGGGCTGCTCAGATTACGTGCAGGCTTCTCACAGACTGTGCTGTCGCCTAGATTGAGAACGGCTCAAAGCTATTAGTGCTTAGCAGCATTCAAAAATCAGTAGCAAAGATGGACCTGTCGTACATGGTATGCTGCAGGAAGGCAGCAACGTTCAAATCAAATGTTTAATTTTGGAGAGAGCAAGCACAGCCTGATTGTGGCAGAAGGACGAATTCTTAGTTGGCCGGACATTTCCCAAGCAGAATGCCATGACGGGCCAGTGACTAGGACTCAAGTTCCTAGTCACGTCTTTGCTTTTCACATTGTCTAATTTTCACAGCTGAACCCTGGTGCCAGCAGACTGCAGTGGAGGTATCTCACTCTGTCTGCATGAGGTATCTCTCTGTCTGCATGAGGATGTCAAGACGCTTCTTTGCAGACCTTGGCTTCTCAGACTTTGAAGGTCCATCATGACCGTTTTGTGCCGCCCTCAAGCTTCGGGTCCTCTACGAGCACCGGCAGAAAGTGCCCGGTGATGCTGCTGATTGGTAAACCAATTGAACGAAAGCCTTCTGCCGGCGGCGATTGTTCCAACCTGCCCGGCCAAAGACATCCTCTTCGGCCGACCCAAGCAAGCAAACGCTGCAGAGGAAGCGGACGCTGCAGAGGATTGCCTTTAACTTTAAGTTTTATCCAGCGGCCGTGATCGATACCTACTGCAAGAACGCGCGCGCAGGTCGGTTTCTGGCGGCCAGGCGGCCATATAGGTAAACCAAGCTTTGTAGGCAAATTCTGGCAATCTGCTTGATGACACTTCGTGATACAGCAGCCGCATTCGGTGCCAGCACTGGCAGCCTGCCAAGAACCTGAAGTACAGCTAGATTGTAGAGTGACTGACGTGCGCAGCATTCAAAGCTCGTAACAGTTGGGGGAACAGGCAGGCTTTGAAAGCAAAAGAAACCTTTCATACGGGACAGCCTGCAGCTCATCAAAGCTACAGCAGTAAAATGCTGTACTTACTAGTTGCAAGTAGCAAGTAGCAATTACAGTACATAGCAGCTCGGCTCAACCAATTGAAGTCAAGACATCGAATGCTCAGGTTGAGCTCACTTGCAGCTTAGGATCCAGAGGAAGTGACCTGCTACAACCTCTGCAAGAGGAAGCTGATGGGCCCCACAGATAGTGATCGATTTGAGTCGTTGGACCAAGACAGTTTGCGAAGGTGCGTGGACTACGCCTGAACGGGCCATTTGCTTGACAGACAGCACAATGGAGCAAGCATCGTTTAGGAGTGGCGGCTCAGAGGCAGATGAGCTGGACATCCGGGGCGACCACTGGGGGGCCGGCCTGGGTTCTCAGAAGGGGTCCCGCAAAGCTGCCCCTGTCCGGCCCGTATCTGCCCGCTCCTATGAGAATGCAGCTGCTGCTGAGAGGGGTAGCCCAGCCAGAGGCAGCAAGCTGGGCGGGGGCTTTGGGCAAATGGCACCGAACAAGGGCGTTGACTTCCTGACAGGCAGCGGTGCGCTCTTATGACCATTCTCTTATACGCCCGCCCCTTGATTCTGGTAATCCTGGGTAAAGGATCTTTGCTGTGTCAAAGTGACGTCATATGGGCCCCCAAGAGCGGGGCTCGTATCTGGCAGCTATATGATAATCAAAGACTTTGTCGACATAAGGCAACTGGATGTCAACTTCAGCTCAATACTTCTGGCTTGTGCTTGAGCAAATGGTCAGATCTGGAACAAATGACCCTGAGCTCAACAGTGTCGTCATTGCCACAGGCTTCCGGGAAGCTTGTGTTGCTTTACAAGGGAGCAAGCTGGCCCTGACTGACCGCTATTTGTGCAGTGACCCAGTACAACAATCACCTGTTTGATGACTCAGAGGGGGACGACAGCCCCGCCAGGACGCCAAGCAGCGGTTACGTCCTGAGGCCTCCGGTAAGCGGGCAAATACAGGTGCACATCTGCAAGAAGCAACCTGACCCGAAGATCAGGAAGGCTACTTGCAACAGTTCCGTGAGTTACAGTGCTAGCATCCCATTGAACCCATCCACTGGACGCTTACTGATGGTCATCCTAGCTGCAGATAAAACTGATTGCATCAACAGCAAGTTTTGTGGGGTCTCACTGCCGTCAAATGTTCAAATGCAGACTGCATCATTGCAGCAGTCCGTTGCTGCCCTCAAACGGAAAGAGAGGAGTCTGAGTGGTGGTAAGTTTACAGCTATCTTGCCAGTGCCAAAATGTAGACCCTCGGTGGAAGGTTTCCCTTGAGTAGATAAGTCCTTCTCATATGGAACTGAGTCGTGCAAAATTTACCTGTGCGGTCCGAACTTTATAGTGCAAACTCCTGCTTTCTACTCTTGTGAGGGTCAATCCTCAAATGTGGGCCTCCACGGTACCGGAAGGTCTCTTGATGACAGAGGTTGTTCCACGTACAGGGCTGGCTGTAGCCAACGACAGCCTTTCCCGCACCATGCGGCCAGGTAGTGCGGCAGGATCTCGGCCGCTCTCCCCTCGATCACCAATCGGGGAACCTGCACTGAGCAGCTTTGCAGAGAGACGGGATTCGCCCCCACCAAGGTGAGTACTCTTGCAGGCCCCGCTTCACCAGATGATGACGGGTGCTGGAATACTTGTGTACTCTGTTCAATGGTGCACCTAAAGATGCAGAGATTTTCTAACTCCGCAGATGGACCAGTAAGTAAGCAACACTTCCTGCTTATAACCGACTATAGCAGTGCTTTCGAGATGCGTCCCCTTCTGTTCAACAAAGACTTCTTACTTGGACCCAACTGCAGGAAACACTGAAAAGACTTCACTCTTGCCAACTCTTACTTCGTAATATACTGATACGTGCGTAATGATGGAGGGTGAATTTTGGGTCTAGAATAAGGTTGTGAGTCACCTTCAGCGGGCTCCTTGCAGTGTTCCCAGCGAGGAAGGCGACGAGCCTTACGTGCCCAACCTGCGGCAGCTAGACCCCGGCCCCCGCGCGTCTCCCAAAAAGCAGCGCTCAGATTCCCTGAGCCCCGCTGCGCAAGAGGTTGAGAAAGAGCTCAACGACTACGGGATCGAGTCGGTAAGCTGTTGCACATCAGCAAGATCGTCAATGAATTGAAACGGCTTTGGCAAGCGCTTGACGAGGGTCCTAGGTCAAAAACCTTCACAAGGCTGGTTGTTACTGTCCATCTCGAGGCCTGGATCAGGAGGATCTTGGCCAAACAATGACTCCATCTCCGAACTCAAGCAATTTACAAACTAGCACGGGAACTTCTTACCCTGCTTTGGGTGCAGGTGTACGAGCCGATCAGCCCAACGGTTGGGATCGCCTCAACTCCCTCGGGAGCAGTGGACCTGAGCGACGTGCGGGCCTTCCTCATGCAGGTGAGGACCGTTTCCATTTGTGGTTACCAAGTCTGAGAGCCGCTTTGAAACAGAGCAGAAAGACTTCGTGGGTATTTTCAGGCCAAGCAGGATGTGCTACTTGAGTTTTCAGATGACGATGAGCAGATCAAATGCACAGGACAGGGGGAATCCGGTTTTACGCGAAAGAAGCCCACTAGATATTCTCCACAGCTTTTAATAAACGGTCAGCACTCGACTCTAGCGTGTATGGAGACGTCGGAAGCAATAATCAAATCCAAAAATATTCATCCCTACTATCATGGACTGCAGCCTGGGCCACGTGACAAACCCGTACAGTGCCATATTCGGAGGGAGAAAGGGAAGAAAAGTGGACATCCAGTCTTTGTGTTGTGTCTCACGGAGGGCGATCGGTTTCTCCTTTGCGCAAAGAATGAGCCGAAAGCAAAAACAAGGTGAGCGCGTCAGGCCGGTCATTGCAAAAGTCTGCGAAGAACGAGTCCGCATCGTTGTGTGTTTTCTGATTCTCTGAAAACGCTTTTTGTATAGGAGCATCTGTTGGCAATCAAAAGCCCAGACTCTAGCTGAGACGGACGCTGTTGGCGAAAAGGTTTCTGAAAGAGATCGAGTTCCTTCCTTGCAGCAACTACGTCATCTCTCTTGACCGGGATGACTTCAACCAAAGCAGCGCAAACTACTTCGGAAAGGTGAGAACGGAGCAATGCCCCGACGTTGGGACAGGTGCTACCGCGAAGCAGGCGTTCTCCTCTTAGCGGGCTCGTCCGGTCAGCTCCTGGCGCTTTCAACTTGCCCACGAAGAATTTTGGCAAGGTGCTTATTTCGGACCGTTGAATGGACGACGTGGGCTGCTCTTTCGCCTAGGGCTGCTGTCCTGCCGCGGGGTTCTCATGCCGCCCTCCCTATCTGCAGCTTCGGGCCAACTTCATGGGGACGGAGTTTTGGTTCTACGACAAAGGCGCGGACTGCTACTCTCAGAACCCCTCGAGCATCAGGTGGGCTTGAAAACTTCGGAGCAGAGCGGAGAGAAATCGTTGTGGCACCCGCGGAGACCGTCTGACTCACGGTCTTTTAGGGCGCTTTGCCACACTAAAGCATGCCGTTAAGCTCCTTCCAAATTGTGACTGTTGCAGCGTTCCGAGCAGCCAAGCGGAGCGCGAGATGTTGGGGTGCGTGACGTATCAGTACAACGTGATGGGGACACGCGGGCCGCGCAAGATGACGGGGGTCATCCCGAAGCTGGACGCCAACGAACACAGGTGTACCTTCGACGCCAACGGAAAGCGAAAAGACCAGGTAAACGTTGACCGGACCCTCTCCATCTGCCCCTGCTCGAATGTAATTCGAAGGCAGCGTGAAAAGCGAACAGCTTAACGTACTTTGTCGACCGCTTCGGTCCACTTTCAAGCTCCCCCAAGATGATACGGCAAGTCTCAAACGAGTGCGCATAAAGGCGGTATCGCTCATAGCATGATGTTTTGCAGGCAATTCTGGAGAAGTTCCGCAAAAAGGAAGAGTCGGAGAAGATGGTCATCATGCGGAACAAGCCGCCCAAGTGGAACGAGCAGGTGAGCAGGCCTAGTCGTACAAGCGAGATGTGCGCACCGCAGGTCGCGCCTCCGCACTGGATTGCGCGCCCACCGCAGTCTTCCTTAGCTTTGTTGCCAGATCAGTGCTTCTTGCGTTCTTGCACAACTTTCTTCTTGTCGTGTTCGTTCTTCAGCGACTATTTTTTGAATCAGAGTCGCCCACTCCTTTCAAGCTACCCCCTCCGGTGTCTTCTGGTCCTTAAGAACGATGAATCATCAACATACTTCACGAGGCGGACCCTATATCGAGCAGCAGAGCCGCATCATAACTCCGATCCTTAATGTCCTTTGCCAGTTGGGCGCATATTGTCTCAACTTCAACGGGCGAGTCACCCATGCGTCCGTCAAGAATTTCCAGCTCGTCACTGATTCGGACAAGGAGACCATCATCCTGCAGTTTGGGAAGGTAAGCTGGACGCACGCCCAAGTTCCAGTGTGTTTCAAAATGAAGTAAGAAATAAAAACGGCAAATTGTTACCTCTCTGCTTTTTGTCCGAAGTGGGGCCTGTTAGGAAACATACCGCGAGTTTCAGACTATTCAGCGGTGTTACGGTTTCGACGATCTAGGCTGCGTAGATGCCGCTCTTTTGCCAGGGAAATCTGGCAATAGTCAGCGTCCAAGGCTAAGCACTGCAAGCAAATGAAAATCAAGGTCGGCTCGTCGACACGAGCCATGACGGGTTATACCAAAACCACCAACAGCCCACGTCCCGTTGATCTTGCAGGCGGGCAACGACTTTTTCACAATGGATTATCAGTACCCGATGTCAGCATTGCAGGTAAGCCCACACGAAGTCTGTTGGTAGTCTTCCTGCTCGCGCTCTCGACTGCTGCCGAGAAGGACCCTCCGGTTCCATGAAGATCCAGATAAGAGGCGCTTTGAGAGTGTCAATGGATCGCTTTCGCACATGCATGGGTCCACTTCCTGTCAGAATCATAGGGGAAAGATGTCGATATAAAAACTGTATGGAACGAGATTCCCCATCCAAGTGCCCCGCTTCTTTGTGGACAGTGTCTTCCTTTCTCTTGCAGGCTTTTGCAATCTCTTTGACCAGTCTGGACAATAAGCTGGCTTGCGAGTAACAACAATCAGCGGCTTTATCATGGTCGTCACACGCGCCATTAGATTTCCGCCATGAATACCTAGCGCCTTTGACTACTAGTTTGGAGAGTTGCTGCCACAAGGAAGTAGAGATTCTAGACGGTCTGATAATTCGTGCTAGGAGCCTGCACGTTGTCAGAGTCGTAGGTGCAGGTGCGCGCGCGGTATGTCCTTCTAGCGAGATTGGATGCTTTCTCGACAAAGACTTTGCATGAATGGAAATTCGTCCGCTTGGTTTTCAGATGCCACTGCTGCCCATTGTTGTGCAAAGGCGATCATTAATTACTTTGAGCATAAGACCGGATATGTCGGAACCGTCCAAGGTGTTGGCTTCGGTCCTTAAGGATGGACCCCGGATGGACTATGCACGGGCAACTTGAGTATTTTGCGAGAGAAGCAAGGCGCTCGGGCACTGGCCTAGCGACTCGGCCAGGAGTTCCTTGCGTATGATAACACTGGCAAATACGTACCTATGTTCGTCCCTTAGTGGCTGCTGGATCACACAATTGAATATAGGAAGGGAATCATGCGGTACTGACTCAATGACTCTTATGATGGTCCCCCTTTCTGCTACTCAAACTCTATTGGCACCTCGACTTAGTTCATCGACTAGTCGACAACAATGAGTCGAGTAAGTAGTCAGCTGGAGCTTGGAGAGAACCACCAAGCTGTTCCGTACATAAGTTGTTGCAGGGGCTGAAAGGAATCAAGATTGGGCTTGACGAGGGTTCAAAAGTTGCGACCGCAAAAACCCCCTGGGAGCTCGAAGCTCAAGTGAGTCACAGGAGCAAGGACGAGGTATCCGTTATTGAGCATCATAATACACTTGGACACTTGAATCCTTCGTACAATGTTGGAACTTCATGCAGCGTCTGGCTCGACGTTGCGATTGTACTTGAAAGGTACGTACGCTATCGGGGACGTCATAACAGTTTTTCTGTGGACGGCCGAACTCGATCAGAACCCCAGCGCTTCCAGTGACTTTGCTCTAGATGTCTTTCATCAGCCGGGCGACTTTTCGGTCTTGCAGCTTGCTACTATAGAGGCCCATGCTCGTTGCGAGAGGAGGACTCTAAGTGCAGGTGATCATGGACCTGCATTACAATATTTGACCACTCAGGCGGGCCGCCATGCAGGGAACCAGGAAAGGGACAAAGTTGCTGGGATATGAACATCCGTCAAGTCGAATGGAATGCGGTAATTGAATTGAATATCCATCAGCCGGGAAACCAATTTCCAATGCAATAAGGCATTCTTTCCTTATGAAGGAAGTCTCATCTCTATAGCATTTTGTATATCTACATCGATAGAGCGAAAGCAGGGATGCTTATCTATCCTGCAGGAGGCTTATCTCCACAGCGTCCCGTAGATCCAAGGTCATGTGAGATCGCGAAGCTGTTACTGAGCACCTGCGTGTATTGTTTCAGAATCACAACGTTATTGAAAGATGCTGGAGTCGGATTGCCATCTTTCAACGAAAATGCAAGTACGGATTGAGGTTTGCTCCCAGATGAGATACTACAGTTTCATTCGAGGAGACGAATTGGAGTTTTGAACAACCTGTCCTACGGTTTCAAGGGAGATGAATTCAGCACCTTTAGCTACCAGTAAGCACATTAAGCATTTTGAAGACACAGAGACTTTTACTATTGCCTTTTGAACCTTCGCACTTACCGACATGGGAGGATCTAATATTCCATCATTCCATAGCCACTTGTTGCCACAGCGCTGGCTCCTATCTCAGAGTATGAACGTGTCAGCTGAGTCCTGCAGAGCTTTACGGGATACCTATGCATTCCCTCGGACAACCTAATTCAGGAAAGCAGCAATTAAGCAAAGTCTAAGTGGCCCGTTGATCCATCGATCCTTCATCGCTTGAATCTGGGGCTTCAGATCATTTGGGATCTTTCAAGGATTTTCGTGAAGGCCAGGTGACATAACCCTCGAGTCTCATATTGTCAAAGGCATGACCCTAAGGACCTCTCGGATTTAATCTCATAGGGTGCTCTGGCTGACATGGCCAGTACGAGCTCCTCAAAAGCTTGAAAGCTCGAAAAGGCTCTCAAACCACTTTCTACTTCGAAAGACCAGCAAGCCTGACGGTGATGCTGTGAATCGGCGTCTGAAGGCACCTCCCAACTTAGTCCATCTTGCTTCCTCAATCCGGAGCGCCTCACTTTTGATCAACTTCGTCTCTACTCGTCTGCTGCAATCCCTGTCCAGCAACTTCACCGCGAGCTTCCTTCATGCAGGCCGCAAACGGCTGTGGCGGCAGCAACAATGGAGCAAGATCCCCGGCTCGCTGGCATCGAGCCTGGTTTTGCGAAGCTGATGGCCCATTCCTGCTCCATGCTATCCTTCATTCGCTCTAGTAAGAGCTCTTCTGTATCGAAGCACTTTGTGTTGGGAGAATTGACGGTTTCACCAGACCCTGCAATCCCTACTCACCTGTCCCTTCCCTCTGGGGCCAGACTTCCCGCTCTTCTTTACCACAGCGGTTCCAAGAGCGAAGACGAAGCAGCGTCGGACACCCGTCGAGCGGTTCTGCGTCTCTTCAAGCCAGCTAAAGGATCCTGTCCCTGGATTCACAAGGGTAACTCGGATGACCAGAAGGATGTTGGAAGTCCACAAGCGGGAGAAGCTGCTGAGGGGCCTTCAAACCCTCCTAACGAAGGAAGGCCGGCGCGAAAGGTTTTCGCCACGTGCCAGGAACTCCAAGAAGCTCTCCACGACATGGCACCAATCTGGGACCTGGTACTTTCGACTGGGTCAGCTGGGTTTCCCTTCGGTGGCTCTGCGGAGGTGACTGAATCGGAATCAAAGCTTGCGTCCTCAGCTCTTACGGCTCATGTGAAACCGAAATCCCATGCTGATTTTGACTCAGGAGAGAAGCTTCGCGAAACGGATAAGGTTAAAGGTATCTTGAGACTAAGCAATTGATTATTTTGTTGCCTCCTGAAATGGCACAACGTTCTGTATTCCGTATCATCTTTGGTCTGTAACATGTAAAATTTTCGATAAGCTTATAAGTATTGTCGATTGTAAGCGCTCAGGAGACTGAGAGCTTTTGTGTGTATTGCTTCGTATCTCGCAGAGATAGGAGAGAAATCACCGTTGCTTTCCTCGACATTTCTTGAAGCAAGATCTAAGATCTTTGGATATTGTATCTGGAAGACAAATTTCAAGGAAGAAGAGCAAGGCTGATTGATACGTGGCGGTCTCAGGACCTGGGATTAAGCTTTCGTCATGAAAGCATCAACTGAGAGAGATGAATCTGGGAGGATGCAGTTGCTAGCACGTGTAAAGAGGCTGATAATGGATCGTTCAACTGCCCTTCTCTAACTGCTTGCAAACTGAAGTGTTTTGTTGCTGCCCAGGCCTTTGTGCACATTGTGACGTCGTCTCCACCCAAAGCGGAAGCTCTTCTCGTGGCCGAACCGCACCTTCGTCGAGCAGTCTGGGGCTCGATCAACTCCGCCCCCCGCTCCTACACAGACCTCTGCTACTCCACGGGCGTGGCCTTCGACTTTCAACCCGCCTCCTCCGCGCTCTCTTCCTCCTCAGCACTTCACAAAGACGCCTTGAAGGCGTCTCGAGGAGGAGGAGCGCAGAGCAACGGCGGCTCGCCGTTGGAAGCAGCATCGAGCGCGCGTGATGTCTTGCCCGCTGGTGCCTTCTACGCACGGTATCGCCTGGTGACGGAGGCCGTGCTGGAGAAGGGGGCTTTGGACGAGTATGCGGCAGAGCCAAGGAGCTGTGTGGGCTTTCCCGAGACGTTTCCCAGGGCGGCTGGTGACACTCGCCCGCCAGACTACCTTGGCGAGGAACTGCAGGAGAGAGTGCTGGGCGGGGGCCACACGTACCTCCTGCAGGTTAGCCGCAGAAAGTCGGCTCAAGTGCCGCATCCCAACTGCTAAATGATTTCTACTTCGAGAATTGCCTCGCATCTCGTCAACAAGGAAAGCTTTGAAGGGGCTATTTTGCTTTGATGCAAACTTAACAGAAATCAGAACTGTATACACTCGAACAAACTTCTGTCCGTTTGCATCCTTTTGCGGATTACATGAAACCCCAGATCTAGATTGATCTCTTCCGGATACTGGACCTGTGTGTCAAAAACTTCTGTGTCTATGACGTTCTCAGAGTGCCCGCTCCAGGAAGACTGTTTGGCAGGCTTTCAAGCGAAAAGCTTGCTAGACGTTCTTCCCCTGATCAGAAGATACAGTGCATTATTCTAGGATATCTGGTTCATCTTTCGTAACCTTTGCTCTGCTTGGCCCTCAGCCCCGGCTCTGTAAGGATCTTTTTAGCGTTCTCTAATCCAAAGATCTTCTTGAAATTCATCACAAGAAACTCCTCTCCCGAAAGTTCTGCTCGTTCAGCCTGACAGCGAACTGCTTCTTAATTCTTCCCATGTTTGCTGCGTAGATCCAACTGGCTCCTACTCCTCCCTCGTCTGCCGAGAGAGACCGCCTCCTGGACGCGACGCGCGTCTGGGACGAGACCTCTAGCCCCTGGCTTTCGTTTGCGCTTCTGCGCCTCTATGCCGCCCTCACGGACCCCGACCCCAGAGCGCGCGCGCGCTTCGGCTCGGAGATGGGGTTCAACCCCTGGCTGGCGCCGCCGGGCTTGGGCATGCCCCTGGCAACGAGCGGGAAGCAGTCCGCGTCCCTGGCGCACATGCGCTCGGTCGTGTACGAGCACTTCCACTGCGTGCAGACCGGGAAGCCGCTGCCCGCCGCCCTCCAGGAGCTGATGGCCAAGCACGGCCCCGCTCAGCAGCGCCTACAGTCGCGAGCGTCGCCCGCTACCATAAGGGCTGCTCCACCTTCGGCAGACGGTCGCGGGAACCCTGCTACCAAAGGTAGTCTGCAGAAACCCCTCGCCGCCAATCCAAGTGAGCGAAGAAATGGGAAAGATACAGCGCTGCGTCGCCGGTGGGCTGCAAACACCTCAATCGCCGTCATTGGGGCCGGGATCGGCGGCCTGACGGCAGCGCTGCGGCTCAAAGCACTGGGCTACACCAACGTGGCGGTCTTCGAGAAAGACGCGATAGTGGGGGGCAAGTGCCAGGGCATGGAAGTGGGAGGACTCTGGTTCGACCTGGGTGGCCAGTTCCTGGCCCGGGGCGTTAGCCCGACTGTCTTCCGGCTGGCTGCGGAGATTGGAGCCGAGTGGCAGCCGCTCGGGGACGGAATCCGCGGTGCCGTTGCTCTCGAGGGTGGCGGTACGGTACGGCCTTTCAAGGACTTACTGCGGCAAGCCACGAAAGCACGAAAAGTGGTCCAAGGTTTGAAAGAGGTGGGTTTAAGTATTACTTCGCTTTTGACTTCCAGGAATTTTGAGGCGGTCCGTTAGTAATGGAAATCTCGCTTGGTGCTTGGAGAATTGTCTGCTGAAGGATGAACGAAAACGAAACGTGAAAAGTCTTGACGAAAATGAAACGGACGAGGATAGGAAGCAAAGCTGCTTTAAAATTCGTGCTCTCCAGTTCAAGATCAGCTACCGGTATGAAAAGATCATGGAACCTCTTACTTCGGAGCCCAGAACTTTCAGAAGACCTATGCTAGCTAACGTTACGAGATTTGGCACGACCTCAATGAATGCTTCCCTCGATCCCCTCCAGGCTACAGAAGGAGCGGCCGACTCCTCTTCCTGGCTCGCCCCACTCAAGGGCGCTCCGGCCGCCTCCCAGAGCATCACGCAGCTGCTGGCCTCCAAGGGCGTCTCCCCCGGGGAGCTCGAGCAGGCGCTTCTCGGGTTCACGGCCTCCGGATACGGTTACCCGGTGGAGGCCCCCGCGCCGTACTTCTACCGCTTCGTCCAGTTCTCCATTGGGCCGCTGCAACGCCTCAAGGCGGGCTACCAGGACCTGCTCGAGCGCATGGCCGCCAGCGTGGGGAGCGTTACCTGCCACAAGGGAGTTCGAGAGGTGGTGCGGAGCGAGGGCGAGGGCGTCAAGGTCGTGTTCGAGGGAGGCGAGCAGAGGACGTTTGACAAGGCGATCGTGACTGGGAGCGCGTGGATGGGTGCCGCACCGCCGGAAGGTTTGTGTCGTTCCTCTATGTCATAGTCGTTTCTTAAAGTTTCATTCCGGTAGTTGGATTTGAGCAGCTCTGATAACCCACAAAAACCTTTTAAAGCGTAGTTAATTGATTCCTTCGAAACTTCGAAAGCGTTCAGCAACTGATCGGATCTGATCAATCTTCTGGTTAGGATTCTGGCAAGAGAATGCGTAGGCCTCCCATAAATATTAAACTTTCTTCTAAGATTCTTGAAAGTTTTTGATTCTGAAACATGGCCAAAGGCGACATACATGTCCGTATAGCTTGATCCGGAGATCCATGAAGCTTCAATAGCTTCGTCTTTTTTCCGCCGTGTAACTCTCCAAGGTTCCCATCCCTCAAATTCGGTAGTTGCCTGTTCGAGCGCATTCCCTAGATGGTTGTATATCATTTCCATCTTAGTTATGTCTTGCTGATGTCAGTTTGATCTGATCTCAGGCTGCATTTCCTGGGATCCGGCCGAGGCAGCCTTGCTGGCGGTGCCCCAGTTCCGGCTGTTCTACACCACCCTCGCCACCGTGACTGGCTGGGAGCACCGCTTTTTCCAGGGCTCCTACTTCATCGAGCATCACTGCACCGACCCGGCCACCATCGGCCACTGCGTCGCTTTCCAGCGCTACCACGCGCAGAGCGACGTCTTTCTTTTCTGGTCCTACGGAGCTGCTGACGCACCTGCGGATGACGTCATTAGACTGCTACGTGCTGACGTGGCGGCAATGCAGGGCTCCATCGGCGAGGTGCACGTGCAGCGAGTGTGGAGGTACTGCTACCAGCTGCCGGCCGAAGGTGCGACCGCTTGGTCTTATTCTGAACTTCGTGCTTTTACTACGGTTCATCTATGTTGATGTCGTCACGGTAAAGCCATCGTTTATCTCCGCTGTTTTTGCTCCTTTTCCAGTAGGTGACGCTGCCTTGTGTGGCTATCACGGAGACCAAGAACAGGTCTCACGAGACTCTCCTTGATGATTTTTGTCTTATTGTCTTCCTTGTTGCGCCTTTTACTTCATCACATTTTCTGCAGACCTTGTAGAGATTTTCTGTCGCTTGCGATATCAAGGATCCTGACAGAGCTCTCCCCTTCCTTCGCATCTGATCATTGGATCCGCTTTTCTCCAGAGATTGCTGCCGGCGACTGGGTCCGCCGCTTCGACAACGACATCCAGGGCAAGGGTTCCGTCTTCTACATTGGGGGCGCCATCTCGTTTGAGTCCACGGAGTGCACCGCCGCGGCAGCAGAGGAGCTCGTGGCCAGCCACTTTGCGCTCCCCGTGGATGTCTCTTCGTCAGCAACCGGAACCCTGCCCAACGTCAAGAGGAGCCCAAGTCTGGCGAAGCGGGAACGCTCTCCCGGGCTGAGCGCTATGGACCTTCAGAAGCCGGTGCCGCTGTTTCCGCCGGTCGAGGAAGCGGAGCTGGAGCTCCGCGCGCAAGTGAAGGCGCGGCGGCCGCCGCTGCTGCCGAGCGTGGACCACCACCTGCGCCACCAGGCGGGGGTGCGCGCCGACAAGGTCGCCTACCTCCACGTAGACCCGAAGTGCCACGTGGCAGCCGCCTTGACCTTTGGCCAGCTGGATCGCGCTGCGGACCAGGTTGCGGGGCGTCTCGCTACTAAGGGCGCCACCAGAGGCGACCGGGTCCTGCTGATGTTCCCCCCCGACCAGCCCTTGAAATTCCTCCAGGCCTTCTTCGGGTGCATCCGCGGGGGGTTCATTCCGGTGCCGTTGGCGCCGGTAGATCTCGGGGGGAGCCGGAAGCGGGTCGAGGAAGGGCAGACCAAGCTGGAGCTGATTGCCCGGGACTGTGGTGCGGGGCTGCTGCTAACGACGGCCAAGGTGCTCCTCGCAAAGCGGGCGCAAGCGGTAGGGCGGCTGTGGAAGAAGCGGGAGGAGTCGGGGGTGCAACTAGAGTGGGTGGCAACGGACAAGTGGGCGCCTGTCCCGGCTTGGAAAGGAGACGGCCGGTCGCTCGATGCGACAATTCAAGCGCGGGAGCTTTCAAGTGGCACAATCCCCGTTCCGCGGGGACAGTCCTCAGCCACTTCGAGCTTCTCCCCGTTCCCAGAACCCGAGGGGAAGCCCCAAGCAAACGGGTCCAGTGTGGTGGAAGGGTTGGGAAGCAAGGAGGCCCCCGGTTATGGCAAGCCGTCCGGCGACGCCGCGCGGGGCGTGTGCTTCCTGATGTACACCTCGGGCAGCACGGGCGACCCGAAGGGGGTCATGGTGGGGCACGCCAACCTGATGCACAACCTGGGCGTCATGACCACGGTCTGGTCCGACGCCACGCGCTGCGTCTCGTGGCTGCCCCTCTGGCACGACATGGGCCTCATCGCGTCCGCCCTCTGCCCCGCCGTCTCAGGCGCGGCGGTGTTCCTCATCTCCCCGCTGGCCTTCATCCAGAACCCCCCTCTCTGGATGCAAGCCTGCTCCAAGTTTCGGGGGACCGCCACGCACGCCCCGGCGTTCGCGCTCGACCTCGCGGCCCGCAAACACAACAGCAGCGGCCCGAGGCTGGACCTCTCCGCGCTTCGGCTGGTAGATTGCGGAGCGGAACCCATCTGGCCCCAGACTCTGCAGAGGTTCGCGGCGACGTTCGCGCCCGCGGGCCTGAAAGCATCAGCGATCATGTGCGCTTACGGGATGGCAGAGCACGTGGTGTACATTTCGTCCCAGTGGGGGGCCACGTGCCGCATCGAGAGCGGGCGGGTGAGCTGCGGGCGCGTGCAGCCGCCGGAACACGACATTGAAGTCAGAATTGTGGAACCTGCCACGTGCCTCGAGGCGGCGGAAGGCGCTGAAGGCGAGATTTGGCTGCGAAGTCCGAGTGTCTGCCTGGGGTACTGGAACCGGCCGGAAGAGACGCAGAGGGTGTTCGGGGGGCGCCTGGAGGAAGATCCATTCGAAGGAAATTTCCTCAGAACGGGTGAGTCTTTTTTGAACGCTGAAGTATCGTGCAACCGACGCATAAACGATTCTCCACTTCGACGCGCGACAAAGACCAGTCCCTGTCCTCCCCGTAGAAGGGCCGGCTCTTGATTGAGTTTCGAAGGAGATCTTTACACATTCTATCACCATGCTGCTGATATCTACGCTTTTGGTGAGAACTTGAAATAATCAGAGAAGAAAACTTTACAGATGATTTTAATACTTTGAGAGAGCTTGGAGATAGAAAAATATCTCTCGGTGGGAGACTGTTGGAGGCCCCTATAAAACTGAAAGATTCTCACTCTGCAGTGCCTTGATGAACCCCAAGCCCCCTCACAACAGGGTCGGAGCTTTGAGGACTCAAGATCTGACTTCATATTCAGAATTATTCGGCGGAGACTCGTGACTTGTGTCTACAGCGCTCGTTTGAGGGATCCTAAAGGGCCACATTAACTTGCTTTCTTCTTTGCATAGGTGACCTGGGCAAGATCGTGGAAGGCCAATTGTTCGTGACGGGACGCCTCAAGGACATGCTCGTGGTGCGAGGACATAACGTGTACCCACAAGACATTGAGCGCGCCGTCCAAGACGCCGAAGAAACTTTCCTCCGCCCGGGGGGCATCGTTGCGGTCCAGGTGAGATGCCGAATGGCAGAACTTGGTCGAGGTCTACAACAATGAGATTGCGCTGCAAAACTTTTTGTCGCACAGTCTGCACACCTGTTTTTGCACGTTGGCGCCTAATAAACAACTCCGACTTCCTTCTTTCTACCTGAAAGCTCGATCTACTGAATGAAAGGTATTCTTCAACAGCTTTGATGTCGTCAAGTTTTGCATCTTCATGTCTTGATGGTCGCTTCAAATTTGCGAGGATGGTTTGACATCCACATAAGACTTCGGAGTTTGCAGGAAGTCACAGAGCTTTGATTTGACAAGCAAATCACAAGATCATTAGCTTCTGCCACAGAAGGATCTGCTGATGACTTGAATTTGCTGATGACTTGAATTCAATCCTCCTTTTAACCTTTCCTGGTAAAGCTACCAGGAAAGCTTCTGGCGTATGGCGCACTCAGGCAGAACGGCCCCTTCTATCTTCTCTAAGACCAGTCCTTTCATTGAGTCGATACTTCTTCAATCCTTGTCCGTTCTGTCCCAGGCGCCCAGTGAGCCGGGCCAGCCCGAGGGCGTGCTGCTGATTGCGGAGGCGCGTGACCCCGCGCGGTGCCCCGCGGAGCTGCCCGGGCGGATCCGCGCCGCCGTGGCCGGAACGGCCGGAGTGGCCGTGGCCGGGGTATACATCCTTCCGCCCAAGACCCTCTCCAAGACCACCAGCGGAAAGGTCCGCCGAAACGACATGCTGCAGCGATGGGCGTCGGGCGAGCTAGACACGCTGGCCAAGGTGAGATCCGGGCTTTAGTCTTCTGCGAAAGCGAAGCTTTGGAAACAGAGGAACAAACCTCAAGTGCTGCTAGAAATAAATGCAGATTCAAAATCATGTGGGGGAAAAGCAGTTCCCTGGGACGGTCGATTCGTGGCACGCGACTTGAAAAAACTGTTGTCACACCCTCGCTGTTTCAAGATCCGTGTGCTCGAGGAACGGCTGGGATTGACATGTTATAGGATACCAGCCTTTACTGGAAGACTTCGAGTTTCATTCAGCTCAAGCTGCGAACAACTGATCTTGGAACAGAATTTTCATCTGTAAGTCCGTCCGCGATCGACAGTTTTCATTCCTATCCACCAACTTTCTCTCTTGTTCTTCTCACTGGCCAAAAGTCAGGACCTGTTGCGGCTACTTAACTTCTGAGCCAGCAAACGCTGAAACCCATAAAGCCGCTGATGGATCCAAGTTTTGGTTCGAGAGGATAACGTGTATGAGCTTTCAGGATCACAACGCTTTTGACCAACAGATGTGCGTTTTGTACAGGCAAAATGTACGACCGCGCCGGAACCAGTCCAAGGGAACGCTGCAGAAGGTCCGCAAGGCATTGAGCTCACCACCACCACCCGGGAGGGATCCTCGGTCAAGACCGCGGCAAGCGCAGTGGGTGCAAATCTTCCGTCGCCCGGAGCCGCGGAACGCCTCCAGAATATCTCCCGCCAGCTGTACCGAATGACCCCTTTGGAAGAGTCCGGCGTTCCATTCGACGGGAGCAGCCCGCTGGCGGAAGCCGGAATGGACTCGCTGGCGGTAGCGGAGCTGGTGGGGAGGATCGAGACGGATCTGGGGCCGCGGTTGGACCTTGGAGACCTGGGATTCGACCAGGGATTCCTCACGCTGGACGCCCTCGCGGTGGAAGTGCTGAGAGCGACCGCCGGCGACCAGACGCCTGGATGGACCGGCCTGAAAAGCGCCGGCCATTTCGAGCCCCAGGATGCGCTCGTTAACACCGTTGCGGCTGGAACGGATCCAGCAACCAAATCCTTTGGATCACGTGGGCGCCGCGAAGTTCGGGAGGCCATTGCGGGGCTGGTGGGAATAGTCGACGGAGACGCCGCCTGGCACAGCCCGCTGGTGGAGCTGGGCTTCGACTCCCTGAAAGCCGCGGAAGCGCTGCAGGCGGTCAACGAACAATTTGGCATCGAGCTGGACTTCGAGACGGCGGGCCTGGCGGACGGTGGGGCGACCCCGGAGACGCTGGCCGACGCAGTGATGGTCGCCCTCACGGGCGCCCCCAAGTCCGCACCACCAAACGCAGCGCAGGAGGAGGGACACGCGGCCGCGAGAGGTGGCCGCGCCTTGGTGCGCTCGGCCGGGCAGATCGGACCCGCGGATGCAGCGGACGGAACAGCGGACTCCGTCCCGCCGTCCGTCGACTTCCGGCAGGGCCAGCTGGCGATGCTCCGGATGCTGCCGACGGTGGAGATGCGCCTGGCGGCGGCACGTGCCGCATCGTTGGAGGCCGCGAAAGCGTACTTCTTCCTGGAATCGGCGGCGGGTCAGGGAGAGGTGCTGCCCGACGGTCGGCCGCTGGAGGCCATCCTGCTGGAGCGCATCGAAGCAGGGAAGCCGCCATCCGAGAGAAGCAGCATTAGCCCGGTGAGGCTAGCTTCCTTTCTGTTTGTGCTGAACGAAAAGTTCTGTGCTGAACGCAGCCTTGAACTTGCTTCATGTTTGGTCTTATTGCCTCAAGCTGACGAAATTCAGTCTCGGGAATTGCCAGTTGATCCTTTTTGCAGTCATAAACCCAGGTCTGTGCATAACATTTCGATTGAGAAGCCTTATCTGGAATATTGACTATCAACGGTCGCACTCATGCACTACATTTCTCATTGCATTCTCCTGTCATGTCGGGAGAAGAAACTGAAGCGAGACCATCTATGTTCAGGGAAAGACGGACTCCTTTGCGTATGGTGCACCAAAGGCCAGTGACAAGGCCTCACTGGAAGACCGGGTCGACAGGCCACTTCCGAAGTGGATCCGACTTCCCGTCATCCTGTTGCTCGTGAGCGTTTCTCATTTTGTCTGTTGCGCTTTGAATCGAACATCTGCACTTGCTTCCCAAATCCTGAGTCTGAAGCATTTCGCTGCCGGTGCAAGACGGCAAAGCTTAAATGGAACTCTGTTTTGGGAGTCGGCTTACAAAAACAGAGTGCTGCCATCTGAGAGGCCGGAGACCCTGAGACCCCTGTTTTTAAATCAACAGTAGGCGTGCTGTTCGTATCTGCTTGCCATGTATCTAGGTGGTCTATGAGGCAGCTCTCGATTGGAATAAATACCCTCACAATGGGAAAGATCTCTCGTGTCGACAAAGTCGTCAGAAAAAGGCTCGCCCGTCATTTTCCATGTAGAAGTGGTGCTGTAATGTTGGATGCAGTGTACAAAGGCTCTAAAGACTATGGGGGTGATTGACATGAAAGGTCCAAGGCGCGAATTTCAATTCTGGAAAACTTAATAGAAGACGGACGATCCCGTGCACTCCTTGCAGGCAAGCATCGTTCCCGTGCTCGGTCTGGCCGTACCGGGCATTCCTGCGGGCTTCATCGTGAAGCAAACCTTCGCGGCCCACCTGCACCGGGCCCCCCGGGGCTTCTCCCCGGTCGCTCTGCGGGACGCCCTGCTGCTGGTTGCCGCGTACCTGGCATACGTGCTGTGCCTTAGCCTGTGGGCGGTGCTCTTCAAGTGGCTCGTCATCGGCCGGTACCAACCGGGCCGCTATAGCCTATGGGGCTGGTACCATATCCGATGGTGGTGTGTCTACACGACCGTCGCCATGGCCCGCATCTTCACGCTCAACATGACCGGCTGGCAGCAGGTCCTCGTCGGGCTGGGGGGCGCGCGCATCGGCAAAGGCGTCACGGGGCTCACCCTGGAAACAGTGTCCGAGGTCAGCACCCTGCTAATGCTTCGTCTTGAAGCACTGAGGGAGGTTTTGCGCATTGGAGTGTTTGGAAATGACGACCAAATCCATGCCAGATTTCTTTTTTGGAGATTGGAGGACTCTGATCTCTTATTCTGCAGACCAGCCATCTCTATCTGACCTAGCCTCCTTGAAGAGCTTTCTCCAAACACGTGTTTGCTTCAGCTTCATCCTCAAGCGAGGAATTTTTTAAATCCTCCGGTTTTCTGGACTTCATTAGTCCGTGTTGAGAGTCTCTTAACAATCTTTTGCTGTTTCGACTTGCCTATTTTAGATTCCCTTGCATGTTCATTCACACCGCTCCGTCCAAGTCTTGAGGAACGATGTTGCTTCTGCTTATGAATCCGTGCACCTTCTCGTGTAACCTCCTGAGAACGGACTGTAACGCAGCATTCTTTCGCAGATGGACCTCGTTTCGGTGGGCGACGGCTCACGTCTCGACAGCCGGGTCAAGATCCGGGCCGCTTCCTTCGAGCCGGGCACGCTCATCCTGCGGGCAGTCACCGTGCGCGCGCGCTGCACGGTTGGGACCAACGCCGTCCTGGGAGGCGGCTGCGAGCTGCGCGAGGGTGTCCACGTGGCACCCTTTACTGCCGTCGATGCGGGCACCGTTGTTGATGCCGAGCCAGACAAGGACTGTGCAGAAGAAGTGGGGATGCGTTTTCAAGAAGTCAGCAAGACGGCTCACGGTAAGTCCGGCCACGTCTTTCTCATGCTGCGACGGGTTTCGTTCGCTTGTGATTTCTGATGGATAGGCCTTCTTCAGCAAGCAATGGTACCCACTCCAAAGGAATTAGTATGCGTGGTCGCACGGCTCCAAAGCATGATTTTAGCTGTGCTCAGACCGTGAGCGCTCGTTATTGTGATTGTATCGCGACCCGCTACTGGTATACGGGTTCTGTTACAGCCTCGCGTTACCAGAGGCATCCAAAACCAAATCTAAACAAAAGCCTCCAAAGTAGGACGCTGGTCTTCCATGTCGGGTCTAAGCTTTCTGATTGATAGTCCTACATCAGCTCCCCATGCGTGCGCAGTATCCATTCCCGTTGGTGCCGGATCCGGCTACCACGTCCCCCTCGTCGTCGCGGCAGGCCGCTGGGTGACATACGTGGCGGTCGTGATCGCGTCAGCAGTGGTGTGCCTCCAGCCGTGCATCGAAGTCGTCCACGTTGTGGCAACCTGGCACAGCTTTGCCACGTGGCCCTACTCAGTGCACCCCGTGCTGTGGGGTGTGCTCCTGGTGGGCCTTTACTACGCCTTCGTGACCATGATGATCAGCTCCAGTGTCGTCGTCAAGTGGCTGCTGCTCGGAAAGGTGAGTCGCCCCAGAGAAGACGGTCAGAGCAGCGACAAGCGTCTGAATGGGAGTCCGGATCAGGCAATCAAGCCTTTCGTCGCGTCTCAGAAGCAAGCATGTCAGAAAACACCCTTTTCTGAGCCACCTTAAAGATTCACATGAAAAGTTTCTCTCAATGCCATGAATTGCACTTGGAGAACTGAGTGAACGCTCGTCAACTTTCCTGCACATCATATCAGCGACTCCTTCGGATCGAAAGTGCAATTCTCAAGCAGCCGACTCGAAGAGATGAATTTTTCTACTCGGGAACTTCTTTTCTGAGCACTGAGTCGTTCCTCCATCCTGCCCAGGTGACGCCCCGCGAGTTCACTCGGGCGGCTGGTTCGCCACGCGGCGCTACGTCGTGGACGCGTTCATCACGTTCGTCACCAGCTCCCTGGTGTACCAGCACCTCACCGTCACGTTCCTCGGGCCCTGGCTGATGCGCGCGTACGGCGCGCGCCTAAGCCGGAGGGCGACTGTCAGCACCGGCGTCTACCCATGCGCCGACCTGGACCTGCTCACAGTCGGCGAAGGGAGCGTCTGCGGCGGGGGGTGTGTTCTGGATTTCCAAGCCTCTCAACAGGTCAGTCGGGCAGAGTTTTGAAAGGCCATTTGATGGGTTCCGACCGATTGATTTGTTTCAAAGGATTTCTTTTCGATGGAAGAGACTGATGCCGTTCGTTGAGGGCGAGTCTAGTCACTCGCCGTGTCCTACTACAGACCCGAACACCTCTCTAATGAAGCCGTCAAATCCTCAATGTCAAAGTATTCCCGACCTGCAAGTGTTGAAGTTTCAACAGTCCGACTGCTCTCAAAGCCTCACCCAAGTGGCCCTCATGTACCTGGTTGCACTGCTTACTTTACTATCTTGAAGCGTTCAACCGCTCGGATATTCCAGTTCCTTTCTACCACTTCAAAAATATTGGAACTACTTGATAGAGCAAACCATCAGCTCCTGCAGCCGGCACGGCTCAGACCCGGTGGATCATAAAAAGTTTCCATGTTGCCATTAGGCCGGCCCCCTGAAGGAGCTGTGCCGCATCTCCATCGGCGCGCGCTGCATCGTGGGGACCAAGTCGCACGTGGGCGCGGGGACCGTCCTCGAGGACGGGGCGTCCGTGGGGCTCCTCACGTACGTCCGGGACAACACGCACGTGCGCAGTCAGCAGGTGGGAGGCCGCTCCCAAATCCTTCCAGCCAGCGCGGGAAGGTCGCCGCTCCGCATCTGACGCTTAAACCTCTGCCCAGCGGTTCCTGGGAATGACCATTTGCGAAAACACTCCAGTTTCTCAGATGCACTCCCGTACCTTCCCATTCGCTAAGGCCGCCGCATTTTGTATCAGAATGGTCACTTGTAAAAAGTTTGTTATTCGATATCATAGTACCAGCCCCAAATTGATCTTCTTGTCTGCTATTTTTCAGGTCGTCCTTGGCCCCGACGCCAAAACCCTGTCGCGCGCCACGCCAGTTGACTTCAGCCGCGCGATCGCGGGCGTGCCGCTGTGGCCTGTGGTTCTTCTGGACTCCTCCCTCTGGCTCCTCGTCGTGGCCCTCACCGGAGCCGCCGCCGGCGGCGTCGTCTTGGCCATTCATGCTGTGCGCAAACTGGGTACGCGGCCGTGGGATGGCAAACTCGTATCGGCAAAACTTCTCTGCCCAATTGAATTTGCTTGCTCGGAAGTGACTCAAATCATTGATCTGCCTGTGATAGCCGGCGATTCGGGTTTCCCTGAACTTGCAAGCCGCCTCGAATCCTGGATTTGAGCTTCTCATCCGACTCTGTATTGGTAGAGACAATAAGTCCGTACAGGCTCCTGTGAATCTATCAGTGCTTTCTTTCTTTATCCTTCGACCCTCATTTTAAGAGGTAATTGCATAAAGCGCCCCGTTTTTCTAACAAGCAAGATCAACTGGATTTGCAGGCGGGCCTCTGGCTGTCCAAGCTGTGCTGTGGGTCGCTTTGGCCATCGGCATCCACGCGTGCATAGTCATCTCTGTCTGCGGGGTAGCCATCCTCATCAAGTGGCTGCTGCTCGGCAACCAGCGCAACTACTCAGTTGTGGCGAGGAGCGATTTCCGCAACCCGGTGAGTGCCAAAGATTCCTCCAATCCTCGCTCGAGCGGGCTATTTCCATTGCTCCACCATCTCAAAACGCTTGCAAAGAACCTCAAACACGGTGGCATCAACCGAAGAAGTCATCACTTTTCGGTAAGAACGGAGAGAGTCAGGAGGAAAACCAGGTCCGGTTAACCAAACTGCGGTTGGCGTCCTGTCGTCAGGTTTTGGAGAAAAGATCCGTCCTGCACGCATATCTTGGCAGGAGTGGCTGACCTCGTGTGCTCGGTCCCCCGCAGTTGCTGGCGCGGAGCCTGCTCTTCACCAACATCTTCGTGCCGGTCCTGGCGGGAGGAGCGCTCAAGAGCACCCCCCTTGGCAATTGGTACGTTGCGCGCCCCTCATCTTACTCACACCTGCTTCGACACGCATTAGTGTTTGCATGCGGGACTGATAGACAACTACAGTCCCTGTTGCACCGTGTGCGATTGGGATTGACAGCCTGTAGCCTGTCTTTGTACAATTTCGAATAAGTATGACATTGAAAGCGACGGCCTCGTTGAAGGCGCTTCATGGGGCTAACGAGTCGGGCGAGACCCTGGCGGCTTCACCGCCCGCCTTTTGTAAGCAAGCTTTTCATGGAAAATTCTGCCCAATCGCCTCTGCTAATCTCTCTTGAAGAGCATGACATTCTGCCATCCTTGTTTCTGCAGGTTCGCCAACTGCCTGGGTGCCCGCATCAGCACGTGGGCGTTCCTGCACGAGTGCTTCATCTACGACCACGACTGGGTGACCATCGGAGACGACTCTGTGGTGGACCGCTGGGCCACCATCAGCCCGCATATCGTTTGGGACCTCGAGCGCATCCGCTATGGCCCCATAACCATCGGGACCCGCTGCAGCGTGGAGCCCGACTGCGCCATCTTCCCTTGCACGTTCAAGGAAGGTGTGACGGTCAGGCCCCTGAGCCATCCCCCGATCAACGTGGAGATGCGCAAGGGGACGGCGTGGGCGGGGGTTCCCGCGCGCATAGTTGAGCAGCTGTGACCGGGGCCTTGGCTTTAAGGGGACCTCGGCGTGGCAGAAGCTTCCGAGCGACCTTTGGTCTGCTTCAAGGAGGGTGTAAATACTGGACGGAAAGAGCAACATCTGTAAAAAACGACCCAGGTCGCAATAGACGTCGATTCTAGGCATCAGAACCAAATTTACCACACTAACAGAACGCACTGTTGCAAGAGATACCACATCCACGTTTCCAACAGAAACTTTACGATCCAAGACGTTTGTTTCGTACTATAGTAGATTGTCGGCCGCCGTAACACCATACGTATGAACAGTTGGCCATTTCATGCGAGAAAACCTGACAAAGCGCAGGTCGAGCACGAAAGAAAGAAACACTGGACGTAGAACTAGCTTTTATGACCGATTGGGTTACTCCGACATTCTAAATCAGAAATGTACATGTAGGTAGTGTGGTTTGCGCTCTTGTTCCTTCGGAATATTTTGTGTAAAGTAGGATCTAGTACTCCGAACGTGCCAGTAGTGTACCGTGTATAAAAGATAGGTATAGGTCATGACCAATATAGGTTATTTCAGCGATTGGGGTTTTCACGACATACGTGCCTCACTTAGCTTGCTTATCTTGCTCAGCTGGCGGCACAAGCAAATTTGTGAGAGTGGAAAAGCCTTGCTTTCTCAAGGCTAGTATAGCATCACGTTTGAATTCTCAACCAGGCGTCCTCAAATCCTAGTAATCTCTCTCAAAGGAGAAGACTTACTCGTATATCATCACTCCCTTTCATCGAGCTGCACGTTCAATCGATGAAAAGCTGATCTACATAGATCGAGATGGAAAAGCACTTTCCGAGTGCGCAGCTACTTGAGAGAGCGTTTTGGACCTCTCTGGCTCAAAGTAGAACACAAGCACCCGAGCCAACATTTCGGCCCGTATACATGATACAACATCCTAGGGTCACTGTTCAAGAGCTCCGGGTAGACCTTTCACATCCGGCCACTCTCATAAGCTTGGCATGGTCTTAAGAGAATCATGCTCCGTCTGCCTCTAACCGTTCTGGTCCTGTTGGATACCTATTGCATGCCTTTCAACGAGAATGTTCTGTCCAGTCAACTTGACGCATCGACTAATTTCTGAAACATAGTTGTCAAATCAGATATTTATCTCTTCGATGTCGTCCGTTTCGAAGTCGTCCAAGTAGTCTCTCGGCGCCGTCTTCGTGACAGGCTTCTGCTCTTTCGACGTCGCGCCTGTCGAGCTTTTGGCGGGCCCACTGCCGGCGGGGCTTTCATAGCGGCCAGACGAACCTGCACCGTAAGCGGAAATGGTTGCTCCAGACCGACTGCAGTGTCTTGTACTCGACAACGGCCGCAAGCGTAGCTCTGAGCTTCGTCTAGCGCGCACATCTATCTACAAGCCCAGCAAAGGTTGGATGTGGCAGGCTGTACGTCCGCTCGACGGTATAAGTTGATGGTGGATCTGGTAGTGCATCAAAACTATAATACCACATGCAGTGAGGAGCTGCTGTTACGAAGGCCGAGCAAGTCCCTTCCACGGGTGGAAGGAGTGCGGGAAGAATCGCCGCCTTACCTTGCAGCCTTGAGGTGGCTTCCTCATCAGACGTATACACGGACGTCATGCTCTCCAAGCTCTCCAACTCTGAACCTCTGCAAGCAGGGACAAGGAAAAGTTTCCAACACCTTTCGAAAGTCAGCGTAATCAGTCGCTTGCTGCGGTCTCCAATGCATGTTGTCCACAGGATCCTGTCACAAGAGTCGCTCAAAGCGACGGTCTAACAGTTGCTGCAACGTTGAAAAGCCGCAGGATTCCTGCCTTGCGCTTGCTAAGTGCGGAAGACTAGGCTTAACAACAAGTGTGAAGTCGAGCTTGCAGGAGAAGCCTGCAACTAAGATTGAAGTTCTTCAACCAGACCCAAGGTTTTCGTCGTAGCCAAAGACTCTACCTTACTCCGAAGCCGAAAGACGACCTGATCATACTGAGAAAAGCTATCGTTCCTGCCCCGCCCTTCAATCAAGCGTGCTCAGCATCTGCACAAGAGCGCCTGTTCTCCCCCGGTCCTCACCTGAAGTGTGCGCCCTCCGTTCTGGGCCTTCCCCCCAGGCTGCCCTTGGCGCTGCTCGGCCTCAGCGGCGACAACGCTCTCCTCGACTCCAGCGCCCCGCCCCGGTTCCCGTCCGAGAACGCGGCCCCTATCTTGACGGTCTGTACCGGGGGCGGCACCGGCTCCTGCGCCTTGCGGCTGGGGACCAGCTGCACCACGTGGACCGCCTCCGAGTCCGCCACGCGTCCTTCCGCTGCGTTCAGAACCACTTCCTTCCGCTTCACCTCGACGGAACTCACCCCCTTCTCCTGCACTGTCGGCGACCGCTCCTCGTCGCTCTCCTCATAGTTTCGCGTTTCCACCCGACTGACGGTCGCCGGTTTCGCTGTGGCCCAGGCTCCGCCCTCCTCCTTCTTGCCACGTGCCTCCTCCTCTCGAGCGCCACGTGTCTTGTCCGAGTTCGTATTGGACGGCCGCCGACTGCTGCGCCGGCTGCTGGGCTTGCTATACACCTCCGGCTCGGACATCTCCTCGGACGCCTCCTCGGACGCCACGTCATCGTGCACGCTGATGTCGCTGTCCATGCTGACGTCATCCGATGCCGAGCTGTCCGAAGCGCTGGCCTCCGATTTGGCTCGCTTGTCATGCTCCATATTCTTGGGGCGTCTTCCGTCCGGCGAAGCGTCCGGCTCGCTTCCGGCGGACACTTCGGATGCGGTGTAGTCCGTCCGCAGGCTGGAGCGCAGGCTCGCTGGGTTGCCGATCACGTGCTTCACCACCGCGCTGGAGGCCTCCTGGAGCAGAAACCAGCCCCCAGTAAGAATCTTTATGGTAGGCTTGGAATCTGCTTGAAATGTGGGGAGCAGTCCGAAGATCAGGGAGAATCTTCTCGGTTAAGCGAACCCCATGCTTTGGAGCCTGATTTTGTCTACACTGTCCCGCTAGACTGTGCGAAGATTACAACTGACTATCTTGCGATCAGAAAGAGATGAACTCTCTACGTAAGCACAACTGCCGACTGACGAGCTTGGTGCAAGATAGTGCAGTATTCGTCAAACAGAAAACTCGTCCTCATGGGGTATTGATACAGACGAAGTAAAGGCCCGGGCGGATTCACTGGTCCAACTTCATACGGCGCCTCACCCGGTATTCGTTCCCCCGGTTGGCCCCCCCCCGGGTTCCTCCGGTGGCTTCCTCGAAGGTGAGCTCCTCCGGCTCGTCCTCCTCGTTCAAACTGCTGCGCAGCCGCCGCTCCACGGCAGCCTCGTCGCGCGCGTGAACCGCTCTCTGGAATTAAAAATTTGGGGAAGATATAAGTGACGCTGGTAGATCTTGTGGTTTCAGGGTGCTTGGGCACGTGGAGGAACCAACGGAGAATAATTCCAATCCTGGAATCCTTCTCCTTGCTTAAGCGTTCTTTGGCGGGTCAAAAGGTCAATCCCTAAGTAAGAATATTCTTAATTGGGATCAGAGCTGCAGTGTAGCAAATTCTGCAAATCATCACCTGCGCTTCAGGCTTGTCTTCCTTCACGCGTCTGCAGACCAATCTCTTGAACGCATGAACAAGCATCCGCTATTCCGCTGCTGTGGAGAGAAGATAACGGAAAGCTTCCCCATGTCCGCGGAGTGCCCACCTCGATGTGCCACTGAATGGTCCCTCGCTCGTACTCCATCTGCTTCCGCTCTGCCGCCGGCGCCTCCGCCAGGCGCACAGTCCGCCGCTGCTCCAGGATGGCCGTCGCCTCGGCATATGCCTCGTCACTGCAAGGGCGATGCCGGTTGGAGAGATCGTAAATTGAGAAATGTACATGGATCTGTATAAAACACTGCTGGAAGGGAACCTTTGCAGTTGGTTTCCAGCACGGCTAAGGGCAGCTCGACGAGCAGTGGCACGAAAAGCGAAGACCAACGGTAGAAGAGGTCAACATTTTTTTATAAGACCACAAGTGCGCCTGGATGATTTCAGGAGCAACAAAAATGGATCAACAAGGAGGCGCCAGACCACACGCGCACCTCATGCCCTTGGTCCCCGCAGTGATGCCGAACTTGCGCAGCTCTTCCGCCAGCGCTTCGTCAAAGTGCTGCATTCGCGAAAGCAATGATCTTTACCAAACTTGACATCCATTCAGGCAGCCAAGCTTCCTTACTCCACTTGGCATTTTGAGAGAGAGATGCCGAGAATAGAAACCTGCCACAAGCAGGCAGATTAGCCCAACGGCTAGAGTTCCCGCTCTAGACGAAGCAGACTATTGAGGACGCTAACTCCGCAAGGACCGGACCGATCGAACGCTCACCTGCGTGATGTCCGTCCGGGTGTCCGGGAACAGCATCGGGTCGTGGGGATGCTTGGCCAACGCCATGGGCCTGCATGAAAAGAAGACCACGGTTGGATGACGGGTTTTTTTGGGCCAGCCGCTTGCAGGGTTAATCAAGTTTCGCTGTATGGAGTTTTGAAACCGAAGTAACAAAAAGATAGTGCGTGTAACAAGGAGCACTTACGATTCTGCAGGCAGCGGTTGGAATAAGCGACCAATATAACGCCCGCTATGCGTCGGGCTTAGGTACGATTCGTTTTGCCCCGTTGGGTACTCAGCAAACGGATTCACTCAAATTGCATAGAGAAGCAAGTGGCCGGGTAGAGTAGTCTGCCCACTAGAAGGCAAGCTATTAAAGATGTTCAAAGCTCATGACGGACTATAGTTGAACAGAACAGCTCTCAACCTGCACCCATGTCTGAGTACCTAGTCCGCAAAGCAGTCCGCTCACTTTTCTGGCACCGGCGCGTACGGGTGTTCCCGCAGCCACTTCTCCTTGTCCGCCACGGACAGCCAGGGCGTCTCGTCGCCCAGGTCCTGCAGCGCGGCCGCCGCCGCGGCGGCCGCCCTCTGCCGCGCCTCCTCCGCGTCCTCCTCTTCCGTCTTCTTCCGAGCAGCCGCGTTCCGCTGCCGGTGCAAGACCAAAAGTAAGAAGCGAAACGGAACAAAAGCGGAAATGGTGACGAGCCAGAAAGATGAGCCCTCTAAGAAATGGGGGATCATCGAGGCTGTCTCCTGATCATGCTGGTGGCGGGCTAAGAGCTCCCCTCTTTCGCGCGCGTCCCTGCTTTTTCCGGAGGTCCAAAGAGCACCGAAACCAGCATTCTGCACCTGCCACCAGCGAAAGAGCTGCAGTTGGAGCACAGGGTTGCCAGACTTCTCAGCAATGGAAAATACAGACCAGACTTCTGCTCAGCGCCCTTCGCGGCCTCACCTCTTCCAGCTCCTGCTCTCGTCGCCTCCTCTCATCCTCGGATCGCCGGCGCGCGGCGGCGTCGTCGCGCTCCTTCTGGGCCTGCCGCCGTCTGCGCCAAATCGTGGAGAGCGTCAACAACGGCAGGGCGCAAATTAGTTCCAAAACGCTGCCAAGCTGTGGACTAGAGACCCGACACCGACAGTTACAAAAGTGAAAGAACCTCCAGCGTGGATTGCTAGGTATCTCGATCTACAACTTGCCAAACACCCGCAGAGATGCCTATCGCTTCTTCGGCCTGCTGATTGAGGGATAATGGCTTTCAGTACCCACCTTCTGTCTTCCTCGGATCGGCGGCGATCCGCGTCACGATCCTGCAGCAGAAAGAAAACTCGATCCGTGAGCTTCATCTGCGAGGGCGGACGCAACGTCGGCACGGAACAATAATGTGTGCGTCCGCGGGTAACACTCGCCAACTCTCCGACGTCGAGGTTCGAACTGCAGCAATTGAGGGCCGACAAAGATGGAGCTTGCCTAATTCTACGTGCGAACTACCCAATCCTTGTCGCTAGACACGGTGTCTTACTAGCTCAATTTCCAAGAAGCATTTCTGGAATGAAAAAAGCGCAGCCAAACCGAGGCTCACCTCTCGGGACGACTCCTCCAGCTTGGCGACCATCACCTTCACCTTCTCACCCGTGGGGTGCCGCGACTTCTTCGCCTTTGCAGGCAAGAAAGCAAGCATTTAAAATTGGGAAGGACGACGATTATTTCCAGGTGTCGAAAACCGCTTTGAGCAACGAAGGCGTGGGAGCCAGTGCGCACACTACAAGGGCGTCAGAGTCCTTGACGCAGTAGTAGAGATTGCTGAAGATGGTCAAAGCATACGGTGCAGATGGCTTGCCTATCTCCGCCCCGTCAGGTCTGGAGCTCTTCCAACGACTTAGCATGATTTCCATTCGAGATCCGCTATTGCAAATCCGAAGCGTCACAAGACGCTTTCTGAGTAGCGGCTTTGCATATTCAGCTTCGTATATTTGTCAAAGAGGGGTGGCCAAGTGGCACCGACGCTCACCCTTGCCAGCTCGCTGGCGAGCTTCTTCTTCTGACGCTCCAGGTCGTCGACTTGGTTCCGCGCATCCTCCAGCTCGTTGGTCAGACGCCGCCGCTCCGCCTTCAGTGACATCACCTGCGACCCAGTGCCACGTCATCAGGGGCATCACCTTCAAAGTCTTCAGGCTAGGCGCGATTCTGCCGAGTGAGAAACTTTTGTACCGTGCCAAAGCAACTTGTTGTCCCGGAAGCCTTTGGAAAGCTACTTTTGAAGCATAGGTAAGCTAAAGAAGCAGCCTCTTATACCTTGTCCCTGTCAAGAAAGGCATTCCATAGGTTCAATTACAGTCGGAGATAAGTTGAATTGTACGTAGCTTCGTTTCCGGAACCTCACCTCCGCCTTGGCCGCCTCCAGCTGCATGGTGAGCTGTTCCTTCTCCTCGCTGATCAGCCGGTGCCGCTGCTCCAGCACGGCCACCTTCCCTTCCAGCTCGCGGACGCGCAGGCCGGCCGCGTGCGCCGCCTCGGGGTCGTCCTCTTCGAGGCGCGCGCCCGCGCCCGTGCGCCGCGCCGCCGCGCGCTGCAGCTCCTCGATGCGTGCGCGGAGGTCCTCCATCTCGCGCTCGCGGCTCGCGAGCACGGCTTGGAGGGACACCACCTAGAAGGGCAGAAGCCAGGCAACGTTTAGAGACAACGTTTCAGGACCTGGGAATCAGTTCTCTACATTATAAGACTAGTTTCGAGCAGGACAGAAGATTCTTTCCAACACCTTTGAAAAGGACGATGGCAGGGTCCAGGAGCTTAATGCACTGCACAGGCCGGATGGTACGACTGCCGGGATGTACGTCTCTAGAAGAACAAAAAGATTCAGAAGGCCTCTCAATCCCTGCATTTGTTCCTGCTATTGACGTAAAAAATGAGCTTACAGGATAGTAGCCAAGTCCTCAAACAACCCGCCCGGTCTGAGGTGCAGGCCCTGGTTCATTGCCGCTTTGTGCGACCCGCCAACCAGTTGCTGAAAGCTGCGGGGAGCCTCGTGCCTCACCTTGGTGTTGGCTGCTTGCTCCGCCCTCTCAAAGTCTGTTCTCGTGCGCGCTAGCACCTCCTGGAACTCTGCCTGCAGCTGGGCCGTCGTCTCGGCCCGGACCTGCGAATTGAGGCCGATCCGATATTAGCTAAGTCTGACCCTTCATTTTTCGGCGTTCCATGACGTCCTTTCGTCTTGGGAGACTCTCAAAGACTTCAGCAAAGTTGGGGGCTCCCGAACCTGGTATCAGCACAAGCTTGCCCCCGCAACATCTTTTGCACGACCTACACAGCGGTCTTCCTGACAACACTCAAGTCTGCGCACCTTGATGGTGGTCATCTCCTCTGCTTTTGCGACCGCGGCTGCCAGGATGGCCTTCGGGTCTTCCTCTGGCGGGCGGGGATGCCTGCGCGCCATGTGCAGGTCCTGCGCGCCAAACAAAGGCACTTCAAACCCAGCCTTTCCATACCGGCAACATTGGAGGCTTGAATCTGTCATCAATTGGGCTTCTTTGCAGTGCAAGCAACACCGATCGTTCTTACAATATTGCAGGGATCAGCCCACAGCTATCAAAGTGCCCTGACAAGGTATTTTGTCAATGCTTTTGCAGCGATCCTTGGCAACTTGCTCGCAACTCACCAGGTAGTAGGCAGACTCAAAGAGCTTGTCGCAGGTGGGGCACTTGTGGGTCTGCTGGCTGGAGGGGGCGGGGCCCTGCCCATGGCCATGCAGGCGGAGCAGGATCTCGTAGGTGGACAATGTCTGCAAACCAGTGGGCAAAGTCAGACGGTTCCGTGCATAAGCTTTTTATGAGGCTAAAGTATTGAGAAAGTTGCCACTGCTCATGACTACAATTCTTCACACAGCTGGTACACATTGACAAGCTTCCAATATCCCTCACTCCCTGAGCACCTCGACTTTTTTCAATCTCAATAATCACTCAATGCCCAGTACCTCGTCCTCGTAACAGCCACCCTCATGTCTATGAGCACTTGTTGCCACTATCAAGTTCCTTGCTTTCAATCTTAACGGCTTTCCTCATCGCACTTAAAAAGTCAGCTTTGTTTATCAAGATCCACCTCTCCTGCAATTTCATGTTGCTGCCCGTAATGCTTAAAAGATCATCAACTGGCCTTTGAGTCAAGCTCCCTACCTTCTTGGCCTGCTTCAGATCTCGCCGCGTGGCTGCCAGCGCATCTCTGTGCCACGACACAGTGCTGTGCAGCTTCTGTGTCTTTCTCTGGACAGTGGCCCCAGCCACCACCAGCTGACTCTTGTGCGAGGCCAGCGTCTCCTGGACATGGAGCAAGTACTCAACCTGCACCGAAAAAAGAGATGGATTAAAGTGGGCCCTGAGACTGCTCCAGGTGCCCAGTGGTGCCTCAAGTACAAATGCATACAACAAAACTTTCTGCCACTGTTTGACCGTGTTCAAGTTTCTTACCATGAGCTTTGCTGATGGAGTGCAGCAGTGGTGATATGAATGTGTGTATGTGATCAAACACTGGCAATTTAAGGAGCTACGGAAAGGCAGGAGCTTTGAAGTAGCGGATGTAAACTTGCCATGAGCTGAGAGAGCCGGAAGATCTTGACAAAGTTGAACTCTGTGAAGTTCCGGGTGTCTTCTGCCTCAATGTCCCCAAATGCAATGGTGTCGAGGATAGACTCGAGAGTGTCGATATCTGCAAGCAGAAAGGGAGGCCATATTTGGAATAAACACCATGGTTTCTGTGCCTGGAGTTGAACAATGCCAGCTGTTTCGATGGTGAGCTCGAAGTTGGGCCGTGCAAAAAAAGCTCATCTGCTCTTGAGGAGCTGAGCGAGCAGATCGTACATACTTTGATAGCTGTCCTTTGCTTTTTGACATGGTAAAATTGCTTTAGCTCACCTGCCTCCCTGATGACCCTATCAACATCGATTCCATGCAGCTTCCTCCAGTCAATGCGCGTCCTCCTCTTCTCAAACATGAACGGCGCAGTCGTCCCAGCCACAGTGGCCATCAGCCTGCTCTCCATGTCAAAATCCATGGTCCCCGGCTGGGCAGGCATGGAGGTAGCTCTGGGGATGGTGTTCCTAGGCCTGGTGCCATATGCCAGCTCATCATCGCTCGGGCTGCTGCTGGACACCCATCCATCTTCTTCCTGCCCTAGAATCTTGGTCATATTGTTGCCAAACTCCACGCCCGACTTCTGCCGACCAAACGACTTGCTCGTGCCGTTCAAGAAATCCACCTGCCCCATGCTTTTAGGGTTCCTGGTGCCCCATTTTGTGGTGCCCCGGCTCCGACGCTGCGAAGCAAGGGGCCGCACCTCGCCATCCCACTGGCCCGTCACGCCGCCTGTAGAGCGGCCCATTGAGCTTGGAACCCGCTCGCTTGAGTGCGGCACCAATGGCTCAGAAGACCACTCGATTCATAAGGTACCTGATTGTCGTAGCTGAGCTTGGACTGGGACGGTCGCCCTGACGTAGCGTTAGCCTAGCTGTGGGTCCTTGTCCGAGCTGCTTATCGCCTGCATTTCTTAGCTGCTCTTGTGCTCTCTAGGTTCGTGTTCCAGAAGTTGAGGTCAAATGCACAGTGCAACTACAGTACATATCAAGGACTGGGCAGTGGTTGAATCTTGAAGGTACAGAAGATAAGAGCCTGATATGTCCTGCAAATTACATTGCGTGGAGATGGGTACCTCAGGCTCAGGCTACCAGAAAGCAGAATTCACTCTGCGCGCGCAAGAAAGGGCCGACCGGCGGCCGGGCCACGCAAGACGAACGGCCAGGCGCGCGTGCGCGCGTAAGATTCCAGGCCGTGCAATTTGTAAAGATATCGGACGGTTGTCATGGTCTTCGTCTCAGGAGCGGTCCAACGATCCGGTTCAAGGAGGTCAACGGCACACGCAAGGAGTACCGTTCGATTGAGTCGCACAAGGACTCCGAGACGTCCAAACTTACGGTACTCGACGAATTGCGAACTTTTGAAATTGTCCGATTGAAGCACCCCCGACTTTCACCATGGCCTGCTGTTTCAGGTCCACATGGGCAAAAGACTTGCGCTGCCACTTCTAGTAGCGTTGGCAGCGGAGTCTGCCGGAGACCTGACTTCTATGGTTGCGCTTGCAGAGATGCTATGATTGATTACGAAGATTGCTTGGGTTGGATAAGGTTGGCGAAAACGACGGTTTTACGAGTGGAGGGTAAAAGATCAGGGACTCCAAGGAAGAGGCCCTCTTCGTTGAAACGTAAGTACTAATGTACAGCATAGGTGGAAGCATGGCTTCCTTCAAAGTCGCAGAGGATCCTATGGAGAGCATGGGTATGCCATCCCCTGCTGGTAAGTCGCCTGCACGAAGTCGAAGACGCTTATCCAAAGGGGGAATAGAAAAGGAGAATGCAGACCCAAAGTCACCCCTATCGGTAAGCCACCGGGAGAGCTTTTCGACCACACATCTTGCGTGTCACCGTGTGTACATATTCCATGGCCAGCTTTCTGCACTTGACAGTGAGTGTTTGCAAAGTGCATCAGAAGCTTGTTCCACTGTGCAAAAATGTAGGGATTGGTATTCTCAAACTATGCAATCTTGTCACTGATATTTGCAGTAATGAAATCTTCTTGACTGTTTTGCGCTCGTCCTTACAGATCCTGAAGAAGGGCGAGCAGAGGCGTGCTCTAGGAGATTTGCATGTCTTTGATGTCCGCTCCCCTGCACGGACTGAAATGGTGAACGGGCAGAGCATAGAGGCGAGCCCTGTCTTCAACAAGAAGAGGTCCAAGCGCAGCCTAAACAGAAGGGTCAGCTTTGCTGAGCAGCCAGCGGTCAGAATCTTCGTCAAAGACATAGAGTACGAAACACCCCCAGACGCTAAGACGCAGAAGGCAGGGTCTTTCACCAATGCTGCGCCAGCACAAACAGCCCTAGATGTTGAGGCAAAGCCAGCTTCCACAGAGCAGCCCCAACCTGCTGCACTGGAGCTCAATCCTGGTAGGCCAGCTGAGATTTATGACAGCAATTTGCAATTCGAGATGCTGCCAGCTGGAAACACCGGCCCAATCTCTTGGAGCCAGGGAAGAGAAGCTTCGATAGGAGTTGACACAGAGCCACTCGCTTTGAACGCAAGGACGGAAGAAATGGACGGTCAGCAATCCACACCAGTAATGCAGCAGCCCCAGGCAGCAGGCGGGTACCATGGCACGCCCGTTGGGACGCCTGGGGGCAACGAGTCCAGCCCTGAGTTCTTTTCTCCACGCAACTACGTCTCACCTCTCAGCAGGTGATATCTGCAACAAGCTCATCTCAGTATGCAATGTTTGCTTGCTGCTCAAGAGATGCTGTGCGGCACACTGCCCCGCTGGAATGGGAGATGGTTTGTGCATTCTTGTCAAGCAGCATGGGATATAAAAAGACAACCTTCAAATGGAAACTTCCTGGTTCCAGGTCGAAATCATCTGTAGCCTCAGCACTCGTCTTCTAGACAGCTACTTTCTCACTCCCAACATGATGGTTTTGAGGAACTTGCGGGCAACTGCTTTGAAGCACTCAGATATCCTGATAGCAATCAAGCCAGCCAGCACGTCCGAAAAACGTCGTTTTGCAGAAAACTACCGCAAGGTACTTCCATAGTTTCAGGCAATACAGTGCAACAATACACCACACAAGTAATCAGCTGGATGACGGGGCAGCCACATTCCGGACTCCGAATTGACTGCAGTGCCACCCTGTCTTTGCAGCGATGATGGCATGGAGCTCACGCACACCCCGACTGCCGACTTTGAGCTGCTTCCTCCCCAGAACGAAGCATTTGGCAGCGCCATCAGCTACCGGAGGCGGAGCAGCCTGGGAGGGGGTGCACGCCCTTCCTTTGGGGGTTTTGATGCTGCGGAGAGGTCCCCCCTGGAGAAGGAGCCGGTCGAGGACGTGGCCAACTTCACAGACATGACAGGCTCCATCACGGCGATGGTCCCCAAGCTGGCCAAGATCCTGGCGGAGCAGCAGGACTTCACCTTCTCAACGGGGCCTGTCATCCCAGCACGAAGAGAGGAGTGGGGAAACGAAGAGGGGGTACAACCTGCTGATGTCAGCCCCGTCCATTCAGACATGTCACTGACTCCGATAGCCAATGGTCTGCCATCTCAGCAGACAGGGGAGCCCGCACCGGCCGCGGAAGAGCTCATGGGAGCCGTCCTGGCAGAAGACGGCGGGAGGGGGGTGGAGGTTAAACCGGCGAGGCGCAGGTTTGGAGATCTGCTGTCAGAGGAAGAGGGAGGCGAAGCAGGAGCGGAGCTGCCTGTGTTTCGTGACGAGAGCCCGGTGGACAATCGGAGGGGCAGCATCACTGGCGCCATCCCGCACCTGCAAGACCTCCTTGCGGCGGACCTGGGAGGGGATGTCGAAGCAACAGAGGGGGTCAATATCTGGGCCTCTGGAGAGCGGCGGGGCAGCATCACTGGCGCCATCCCCAACTTGCAAGCCTTGCTGGAGGCGGATCAGGACGCAGGGAGCAAAGAGAGCACGCTCGATTGGGCAGCCAAGGCGGAAGTGGCACAGCAGGGGGGAGAAGACGGTTCGACCGGAGACCTGTTCAACTTCGAGACTGCTGAGAACGAGATTGGCTCGCCGGAGGAGGGGGAGACAACGCAGCTGCTGAATTTCGGGGCGCTCATGAAGCGAGTTGGGATGGAGATTGCGGCAGGGGGGGACGACGTGATTGAGAACGTGACCGATCTGGTCCCGCGGCTTGCGGACCTGGTTGACGCTGACGGGGCAGAGCCGCAAGCTGAGAGTGCGCCAAATGGCGAATCCTTGAAAACGGAGGAAGAGAAGGCGGAGACCAGGGAGGAGCCAAAGGCAGCACCGGCCCCTGCTGCTGGTATCGTAAATGCATCCCTTCCGTTGCTATTCACTGGCGATGAGCAGGAGGAGGTGTTTGGCGTGCGGCCGAGGTTCAACGCGGGGTCCAGGCCCAGCCATGGGCGGGCATCTCTGCAGCCCCTGGGCACAGGTGAGAGGTCAACGGGTGTCGTCTCAAGTAACCGTGAAGAAAGGTTCAGGTACTTCATTTAAGAATCAGAGACAAAAGGTAGATTTCGTCTATGATCTTCTGAAAGCGTGAGTGATTGAGCGACCTAATGCTTTTTCGCAAGCCAACCTCACATTCTCTTGGGAATGAAGCAAAGGACACTCTCGTCAATAACGGTGCGGAATCATTGCAGTGGCTGCCTGCAATTCTCATTACGACGCCTCGTCACACCAAAAGAGACAAGACGCCTCGTCACACCAAAAGAGACAACAATCTCGTAATCTGTTTACAGCTCAGTCTAAGTTAGCTCCTTTGGTTGCCCATGTGAATCCTGCTAGCTGCACTTGTGCCCCTAAAGAAGGCAAGGCTTTAGAATTTTCCCAGGAGACGTGCACACAGATCTTGTCAAAACGTGCCACTCTGACATCTGTTGAAGCCAGGCCTACTCCTTTTTCCATTTGCAGGCAGCTTCAGGCCAGCCCACCGTCGGGGCAGTGTGCGGGGCAGGGCCAGCGTAGGCGGCTGGGCGGCCATGCTGAGTGCGGAAGCGCAGGAGGGGGGCGCTGTCGACCGGTGGTGGGTCAAAGACAAGCCGGAGGCGGAGCAAGACGAAACAAATCCATCAGTGCAAGAAAGCAGCGCTGCGATCGGAAACAAAGTGGAGGCTGCCAACCTGCCAGGCGATGATGCAAAGGTATGTAAGAGCTCTGCTGCCGGCTGTAACTATTCGTGATAAGGATGAACACCTGGAGCTTTAGGACAACCGTCAACATCGTATGCTTGCACAAAGTCGAGTTTTGTTTAAAGTTATCAAGAGAGTCCTCCCTTGCTCTGGGGTCAGATCCGGTCGCAGTCCGTTTCCGAAAGAACTTAGTCAGAGCCATCCTGTGATAGTGCCACCTTGTACTACCATTCCACTTCGTTGTCTTGCGGTACAAGGATAGAGTGGTCAACTGAGCGCCAGCCTCAATTACCTAACGATTTCGGACCGATCACCACACATGATTTGGTCCGGCTGGATGCAATCCACTAACTGACCAAAGGTCCTTGTACCCGCAGGCAACGGAAGTTCGCCCCCCTGCCGCCATCGAGACAGTCCACCCTAACCCCGTAGTCCAAGCCGTGGAGCCTTCGCTCGTCCTAGCTCTACCGGCGGCACTGCCTGCCCAGTCGATCCCCGCACCCTCGCCGAAACCCGTCCAGGAGGTTGCCCCGAGCAAGAAACGGCCGCGAGAAGAGGCGGGATCCGACCTCCAGCAAGCGCCGGCTGGCGAGCAGTCTGAAGCGAGCCTGCAGACAGAATCCAGTCCCAAGCCGGCGGTCAAGAGGCAGCGCAGGCTGCAGGTGCTGACACCTGTCACTGAGCAGATGAGCGGAGCCGAGAGGGAGGAGTCCCAGGGAACAGTGTTTGGGAGAGGGGATCAGACTGCGGCCCAGGAGGTGACTCAAGATCACGGGGAAACTGCAAAGGAAACGGTGACGGGAATGGACGAGACGGTGGAGAACCAGACACAGGGAGAGGAGTACCACGTGGTTTCGCAGGACGAGATACCGACGCAGCACAGTGGGGTTATTGGGAGTCAGGGCGCGTTCGAGACGGAGAAAGAGCTGAGCGAACTGGAGTACAAGATGCTGCGCCTGCAGAACAATGTGAGTCACTGGAAGTCGTGCCTCGAAGCTTCAAAACTGTGCTTCGTCTCATTCTCAGCTGCTTCGATCAACCCCTTCACATTCCTGGCATACTAAAAATTGCTTTCTGAATGTCTTCCTATCTCCGTAACTCACCCTGTCACTTCTTGTTTGACTCTGAGCAGCGAAGCAAAAGGACCCAACCGTAAATCTGAGTTAGCATAGTACCCGCTAAAAGGAGGCTTTAAATCGGTCTTCTACTTTGCAGAAACGCTCTTTCATCTGACTTCAACATTCTTTTCGAGAGCCGCTCAAACCACTCGGTCCTCCTTTGTCGTCCAGGATGCTAAGCAGAGTCAGTCTCAAATCAATCCTCCCTGTTCGCCTCTGCAGAGAGCCACTCCCGCCAAGACCCCCAGCCCCAACGCCCTCCCGATCTCCAGCCGCCTCCAGCTCCGCCGGTCCACCCTCAAAATGCAAACGGCGCTCGCCGCCGCTGCGCAACCCCCCCTGGCAGCTGAACAGAACCCCGAGCAGCAGGCCGAGTCCACAGAACGACAGCCGTCTGTCGAGAATGTACCGGCTTCTGTCACCGAGCAATCTCTGGAGATTGTGGCCAGCGCACCTGAGCCCCCGGTCGAGAAGCCGGCGGAGCCTATTCCCACTGCTACAGCCGAGCCCCCAGCGGGGATTCTTCCCACCGACCCTGCGGAGCCTCCTGTCAAGGAGCAGGCTGAGCTTCCCCCGGTGCCTGAATTAGCAGTGGAAGGCCCTGTCGACATCGAAGAGGACGTCACAGAGACCACTTTGCCTCTGCCCCCTGCCCGGCTACAGGGCCTCATGCACCTCCGCCGTGAGAGCCTGGGCGTCCTGCCCCCAACTCAAGGCCCTGTCAGGCAAGGCCTCCCCCCTGCGGGCCCAGTAAAACCGTTCACCCCCGCTGCCCAAAGGGCCTTCACGCCCCGAGGCAAGGAGAAGTTCACCCCCATCCTTGGCCTGAGCTCCGTCCGCAAGTTTAGGACGCCGGCTCCGGACAAGGCCGCGCCTGTGGCTGCTCCGCACTCCGTTCGCCCGGCTCGGAACGAGGACACGACGGCGGAACTGGACGGGGAGGAGGAAGGGACCGGGAAGATTGCCGGGAGGATCTCCTTTGCAGAGTTTCTATACAAGGTCGAGGTGAGCAGCGTAGCGGTCTTTATTCTTGAAGTTTTATCAACACTTCAACCCCGAGACCGGGGGCCAGCTCAATGGTTCAGTAAGTGGTTCAATTCATTAGACTTTGTGTTAGATGTGTTTCTCTTTTTGGTTGCCAAGCGACCAAAGGACGACGTTGAGTACCTGAAATAGATGTTCGAAAGAGGGGTACGGGTGCAGAATTCCTAAGGACAAAAGCAGTGCTACTCCGGCTCCCTCGTTGATGAATTCCTCTTTCTCGAAGCTCGTTTTTCAAGCCCTTTCAAACATCCTCCGTTTGTGTGACCATTGTGATTGATTTCTTTGTACGAAAGCGAGGCCAAAGCGGTTCTAACGCGGGCTTTTCTGGTGCAGATCCGCTTCTTCGACAACCGGAACCGCGCTTCCATGTTCGGTCAGCAGACCCCTACGGCCGACCTGGCGCCCCCCGAGGGCCTGGCAGACTGCTTGAAGGTCGTGTGCTTCAACCAGCCGCAGGTAAGGCATACCGCTTCTGTATTTGGCAAACTTTGCGTATTGTTACACTTACAGCCATTCAGCGCTGCACCTTGCGTCCGGACTCTGCGCAAGCCCATTGGCTGCGAGTGAGCTTTTATGTGTGTGCAAGCTCTCGCAATTTTGCGTATGAAGGTCAGCCTGAACATCATGTCGAGGGTGCAAATTCTAGGCCGTTTCTGAAAACTCTTCATGCTTCGTGCAGACGACCATCCTAGACTTTGGGTGTGGCGAGCTGCGCGAGTCGATCGCTGCCAAGAAGGCGTCCGTGGCCCACTTCGAAGCGAAGCTGCAGGACATGTGCCCCGCCATCTTCCACGCGGTACAGGTGAGCCGGGGGTGGGCACCGAACAAGATACTTGCGCTCATGCGTCACTGTCCGCGTTCGCCGTAACTAGGTGCTGCTAAGTGTCGAGGTTGGAAGTTCGTCATGAGGGTTGGCTTTGCCAATACTTCGAGTAAGTAGTGCGTTGCTTTTTTATCGGTTCTCCATCGTTACGTGCGCACTGTCCGTTCTGACCTCTCTTAAACCACGCCAAGGAGGGTGCGGAGCGAACGTGGCGTAAAGGAGGGTCCGGGTTCTCTCTGTATGATGGGAAACATGACTGTCGAAACTTGGTGATTCAGACTGCGGCGGGCCCCGAGCGCGCGGCCCTGCTGAAGAAGCTGAAGGACCTGAAGCAGCGGTGCCGCCTGGAGGCGCGGCGGCAGTGGCTGGAGTGGCGCCTCCGCCTGGAGGAGAACACCAGCGAGCGGCTGCAGGAAAACGAGCGCAACTTGATGGTGCGCGCCGCCCCAACGGCCCTCCCTTGACTCTCGTCGATTGCTTTCAGTTCGAGTGCAGAAGCCGCAAGGAAACGCTGCCCTGTCATTCAAGAGCCTCGAGTCGGTACCGTGAAATGCGGGTGGCGCCTTAGCTGTTTGCTACTTCCAGCCCCTTTTCCTGATTGGGCAGCTGATCAGTAACACCTTTTCATGCGACCTCGTACGCCATTTTTTTCCAGAGATACTCGATCTTGCCAGACCGGCTGTAAACTTCATGACCCTTTGATTTCTTTCTTACGAGTCTCCTCGTGTTCTCATGCTAGATGTTGCTATAGATTATATCTGCAGTAATTTTTGGCGCCTTGCGAGATTCCTTCCGGCTCACCTTCTCTCCATCCGTCTTTCGCGCAGGAGGACCTGGCCGCGGTGCAGCAGAAGCGGCAGCAGCTGCACGCGCTGCGCCAGGACGTCCGCAACTTCCAGGCGGAGATTGAGGCGAACATCCAGCGGGCGGAGGATGAGCTGCAGGCCGCGCGCGAGCGAGAGGAGGAGACACGTGGCATCAAGGTGCGGCTGGCAGAGGAGGTGCGGCGGCAGCAAGCCGAGATGGAGGAGCGCGAGCAGCAAGCTAGGGAGGCGGAGCGCTACCGGGAGAGCATGGCGGCGCAGAGAGAGGTAAAAGTGCACAGAAGATTCTTGGATCCTGAGCCTGCATTTACGGGAGCATGCGATGCAGACGGAACTGGTTCAAAGTGCAAGGATTCTCGCCTCATGGGGGTGGTTCTCCAAATTTTGCAACAAAAGTGGCCAGCTGGTTTTACATTCAGGAGAGTGTGCCCTCTTCCCATCGGCTTTGAGGATATTTTCAGTCCGCTTGCGGAAGGTGTCCAAGTGATAGCAGAGCGCTGTTTTGAGGTTGTAAGCGTTCGCTCCTTAACGAACGCGCTGGAAGTCCCTCAGATTCCCTTTTTTCAAGACCGCCGAGAGCTTTACTCGACACAACTTGCATCTTCAGACAACGTGGAGCAAGAATTTGACCTGCTCGGAGAGTGCCCCCCTATACCGCGCTTCTTGGTCCCTCTTATTCCCTCTTAGTCCTTCTTAATCCCGTGGTGACATTACCAACTTCAATCGTCTACTGCACCGCAGAACCGGTCTCCTTATCCCTCACTTTACTAACTCCTACCAAACTATGCGTGCGCTGCAGTCCGCGGAGGCGGAGCATCAGCGGCTGCTGGAGCGCCTGCGGCTGCTGGACGCCTCGTGCGCGGAAGCGCGTGCCGCTCTCATCAGCAGCGGGGCGGCAGGCGACGACGGCCGGGGGGGCGGGCGCATCGCCGTGGACGAGAGCCAGCTGGAGAAGCTGCGGCAGAAGGGCGACTCCAGGAAGGAAGACCTCGCCCAGGAGCTGGACATTGTGGTCGCCACACAGGTGCGCCACTCCTAGGGACACGTTTTGATTGGGCGTTAAGTTGTCGCGCGAAACGAGGGAGTTGTGTCGGGGGCTGGACAGGAAGTCGTTCTGGTCTGAGCATCTTGCTTCTGGTTCGGAAAGAGAGCCAAGCTAGAGCTGCATCCTTGCGTTCCACTTCCTCGTACCAAAGGTGTGTGAAGGCTAATCTCATGTTTCAACAAGTAGGCAGAAAGTCTTATATGATCTTATCGTCCGGAGAGGCTATAGGGAGCAGTCCCTTTCGCACTTAAGTGGTTGCCTGGTTCCAGTTCAGAACGGACCGGTTATCGTGTTTCTTCCTGCAGGGGTGGGTATTATCCAGACAGGGATGGCAGGCCGCCGCAAGCTCGCCTGAGGAGTCCGCTTTCGCCGTGGATTGCCCCAACCTCGAAACGGCGGCCGGAGCCGTCGACCTCTCTGACAAGGCCGCCTCAAGTGGAGCTGCCAAGAGAAGGGGGCCGTCGCCAGGCGACGCCGTGCAGGGCCAAGAGAGTGGCGCGGTCGCCGAAGCAGCGGGTGTGGCGGAGGCCAGCGAGAAGGAGGCTGTGCTGGAGCTGCGGTACCACGACGGGCTGTTCAGCCAGGCCTTTTACAGAACGGGCAAGAACGAGTTCCCGGAGGAGAGCCGGCTTCAGCTCGATAGGCCGGCGATCGATGGGGTGAGGTAGCGGATGCGGGAACGTTCGTGGTGCCTTTCGGTCGACCAAAAGCCGCTATGTAATTGGTTTCTTCTCTTCAATATGAAAGCTTGCGTAGTCTCAAGAGCGCAGAAGCTAGTTGATCTGTTTCTGGAACGAAGGGCTCGGTATAGCTCTCTCCAAGGTTGCTGAGAGGAACCAGGAAGGCATGCATGGATTTTAAGCATTCGGCTTCGCAGCTTGAGAAGCGGCCCAATGCTTTATACGGACGAATCGTATAGCATGCTCTCAATCGCAGTTTTCTTACCCTCTTGCTCACCACTCACCGAATTCCTTTGCGCAGAGGTTTGGCCGGATCGGCTGTGCCTCTGGCTTTGCTGCTGCAATGCTGACCCCGGTCGGAGAACGAGTGAAGAACTCGGAAGGCCGCACGATTGGTAGCTTAGTGCAGGTGAGATCTTCCCCTACCTGAATGTCGATGCTCGGAAACGACCTGTTGACAGTAACTTCTGCCAAGGAAATTCAATTACCAGATAAGAGGATGTTCTTCCCGCTCTCCGTCGATTTATGGAGCTTGGACTCGACTGGTCACGCTGGGGAGAGCAGCGCTTCCAGCACATGCGTCACCAATGGTGACATCGGTGGCCCTTCGAGGTCTGTAGTAAGGCGACAAGAATCGTTTCGTATTCTAACATTACGGGGTTGAGCTCACGTATTGGTTCGACACGTGCTTTGCAGAAGGCGAGCTTGAGGATCGGCCGCGTCTTTGACCTCCTGGAAGAGCTGAACGACTGCTGCTCCGACTTTGAGGAGCTGTCGTCTGCAGCCTACTCGGAAACAGAAGGTCAGTCACACCTTTCGATCTTTTCCAGACATGACTCGATTTATCTTGTCGTCATCAAAGAGGCCTCTCCAAACTTGCTCACTCGCCTTTGTCTATAGCGACCAGAGCTTTCTGTGGATAAGTGTACAAGAGAATGCTTGAAATACGGACTTGCGACGTTCTTGCCACTTTAGCTTCCCCAGCCCTGTTGAAAGTCGTCTGCTCATCCTTTTGGAAGAGTTGCTCTGAGGAAACACGGCCCTGAGTGCCTCGACCTCGTATTTGCAGGCCCCGGCATACTGCAGCTGCGCTTCACGGACCACCAGGCTGTCATGCTGACGCTAGCCTTGTCCCTGTCCCAAACCGACTGCACCACGTACCCCTTTGGAAGCCTGCCCTTCAAGTCAACCGTTCAATATGCTGATCCCGACACCAAGCGCAATGACCTGGAGAAAGTCGTAACCAAGGCCGTATCGGCCATTTCACCAGGATTTGGCAGAATGAAACGCGCTTGTGAGATTGTGGCAGAGCTGATCAGGGGCTCTCGTTATCCAGAGTAGTTGTCAAACAACGAACGGGGTAGTTACATATTAGGAATTCAACCTAGCAGTCTCCTTCGTCCGGACCTTATCATGTAGAACGTTCCAGACGCTATATGAGTTTTCAATGCTTTTCGTCCGTTGCAGCGTGGTGTCAGACAAACCTGCTCTTGTACGGCCCATCTAATAACGGCTCACATTGCCGCTCCTTTACTCTCTTTTAGCTTGTCTGCCGTTCTTTGTCAAAAGGACCTTGCCGCTTCAGGTATCGTGGTGTACATGCATTTCGTCGCAGCCAAGTCGGCCACCATGCTCGTTCGAAGTGTGTCACTGTGTGCCAAACCCAGGAGTGAGATACAATTCCTCGAGGTATAGGAGCGACCCTCGACGGATGATCCCTATCGATCGACTTCCCGTTGGCTTTTAAGTCCAAACGCGCATTGGAGTTCATTTGGTTAAGGGGCACGTGGCAGGCCGGGGGCCTGCTGCGGCCCTGCGGCAGCCTGGCAGCCAGTATACAGAGTATAGTGACCGTCCGTCCACGGGCCCGCCGCGGAGCTAGTGGCCCGGACCGAACCGGCCCGCGGGCGCAGTCGCCGTCCATCCGGCACCGCGCGGCCGCATGCATGAGCGCGACCGTACATTGGGCCGGGCCGGGGTTCCAACTTCCGACACCACAACTCGACTTTTCACGGGGGTATCCTGACGGACATAACCCAAGGGTTAAGGCAGAACTAGCTGCGAATGCACTGTGCAGGGTAACTCGAGCAATGCGAGATTCCATGTTGACTTTTAGGGGCCAAAATGACGTCATGTCAATGATGCTTTCTCAGTTCTGGCTTCGCCGTCCTGCATGTTGACGGGCGGAAACTTACAACTGAGGAATCAGGCCCATATGCTCCATGGTTCAAACTTCACCGTCTTGGTCAATGTATACATACATCACATTATAAAGCCCGTACCGAAGCAAAAAAAGGATGAACAATCTGAGGACACCACGCTCATCAGCTGGAGACGTGGGACTCCTATACCTGGCGATGGTCGCCGGAGCGCGGGTGCCAAACCGCACGGCGGCCCCTGGGAGGCGGCGACGACCTCGACTTACGAGGAATTATACACCCTTTTTACCCCGCACGCGGCATGACCCGTAGTGCGTTTGCGAGGGATCGAACCCAGGTCCCTC